GAAATTTTGACAGATATTGCTATGTGGCCAGCGAATTTGACAGAAACCATGCGTAATTATGTTTTGGATTTCAAACCAAAAAATGTTGGCGACTTTTCACGCGCTAGCATGTTGATGACAGATCGTGGTAGACAATATTTTTGTCATTTGTCTGAATATAACTTTTACTTGACCAAGGCGAATGGCCAAAAAGAAAGACGTGAATGGTTAGTGTTCAGTGAAACTAGTGGAAGTGTTTATTGTTATGTATGCAAACTGTTTCCAAATAAAGCTAGTCAATTTTCAACAAATGGGTGTTCAGATTGGAAAAATATTGCCGCGAAAATTTCTGAACATGAAAATTCGTATGGCCATGTTCAAGCAATGTGCACTTTGGCTAAACGCTTAAACGCAAACGGGCGTATTGACAAACAAATGGCGAAACAGTCAGATGATGAAAGGCAATACTGGAGAGAAGTTCTACGAAGGATTGTAGCAACTGTACAGTTTCTTTCCTCTCAAAGTTTGGCTTTTCGTGGTCATGACAACAATGACGGCAACTTTACTAGTTGCTTGAATTATTTGTGAAAATTTGACCCTTTCTTAGCAATCATATTGCGCGGTACGGTAACAAGGGAAGTGGTTCTGTTAGTTATTTGTCACATGCCACTTGTGACGAATTTATTGAAATAATGGGCAATGCTGTCAGAGATCAGTTTATTTCAGAAGTAAAGAAATCGATATATTTTTCTTTGATTGTTGATTCAACACCTGATGTTAGCCACGTGGACCAGTTAACTGTGATACTCAGATATGTTCTCATTGATGGTGAAATTAAAGAACGATTTTTAACTTTTGTTGACATCTATGCTCATAACGCTCAAAATCTGGAGCAAGTGATACTAGACGTTTTGAAGAAATGGGGGTTAGATATCACAAAATGCAGGGGACAGAGTTACGACAATGCTTCTAACATGTCTGGCAGATACTCTGGCTTGCAGGCGCGAATCAAGGCACACAGTCCCAATGCAGTTTACATTCCCTGCTCTAGCCATAGCTTAAATCTAGTTGGTAATTCGGCTGCAGAATCGTCGCTTTCAGCAGTATCATACTTTGACTTTATTCAAAACGTTTATGTGTTGTTCTCATCATCCACACACAGGTGGAACATACTTAAAAGTCATCTAGTCAAAAGTGGATGCACCATAAAGAAAGTATCGGACACAAGGTGATCAGCTAGAGCGGATGCAGTGTTTGCATTGCATCAGAACAACATTGGTATTCAGGAAGCTCTTCTTCAAGCAGCCGAAGATCGTGATCAGAAGGCGTTTGTAAGAAATGAGGCTAATGCTCTTGCTAATAAAATGGATCTTTTTGAGACTGCATTGATGACTGTTCTTTGGGATACAATTTTACAGCGGATGAATGCAACCAGCAAATCTCTGCAAAATTCAAATTTATATCTTGATTCTGGTTTAAATCATCTAGAATCACTGAAGCTTTTTATTAACAATGAAGTCCGAAACGATTTCACTCGTATTGAAAATCTAGCAGCATTACTTATTAACGAGGATCTGAAAGACTGTAAATATCAAGATGAAGTGAGCCGCAAGAAAAAGCGAAAACCGTTTTCTGGTGAAAGCAATGAAGCGGAAGTTATTTTAACTGGTTGTGATAATTTTATTGTTAACACAGTAAACGCCATTTCTGATAAATTGATCACGGAACTTGATCACAGAATCGAAGCATACAAAGGTATACATGATTTGTTCAGTCTATTTTTCAAGGACAAGGTAGATGACATGAACACAAAGATCTGATGCCGCTGGCGATGAAATCAAACAGTTTTTGCATTTCGCTAAGGAAGAAGGCGCAAAATCTGCGGTAGAGATATACCAGCTTATAGTGGTGGGTGGACTACAATGTACATTTCCCAATGTGGAAACCCTTCTAAGAATCTTTCTCACCATTCCTATATCAAACGCAACTGGAGAACGGTCATTTTCTGTGTTGAAAAGGGTCAAGAATTACTTGCGGAATTCCATCAGCTAATGTAAGCTGGGAGATTTGTCTATTTTATGCATTGAATCAAAGGAGACATTAGAATACGATTTTAATGCGCACATTGACTCCTTCGCGAAATTGAAGAGCAGGAAAAAAGTTATATAACTGTAATAAACTGACAATTGTAATTTCTAACTAGTATCTATAGCTGTAGTATCTATGCATGTTAAATAATACATGGGTATGAATGTTCTAACTATTGCTGTATTATGATCATTGATCGTCTTATAGGCGAGAGGGCCCCAAATTGGTCGTGCGCCTAGGGCCACAGTTTTTGTAAATACGCCTCTGGCTGGGATGAAATGTTGTGGTCTGTCGTCTCAAATTTGAAGATGATTTCTGTTCTCCCATGCAATCAGGAAATGGTTGAATATTTAACCGCCATAGATGAGATGAGCCTATTTTGTTAGACCCAAACTTGTTTTATTCTTTAATTTCTTGAGGTCAAATTGTTATATTTTTCTTCAACAATAATTTGAACATTTCTTAAGTATATGGAATTATTTGGAAGTAAAAATTACAAGCCATGCAAACAAGTTGAGAATGTTGGTTGGTTAATTGATTGGTTGGTTGTTTGTTTGATTGATTGATTGATTGATTGATTGATTGATTGATTGATTGATTGATTGATTGATTGATTGTTTGATCGATCGATCGATCGATCGATTGATTGATTGATTGATTGATTGATTGATTGATTGATTGATTGATTGATTGATTGATTGATTGATTGATTGATTGATTGATTGATACGGCGTAGAATAATGTACTGACTGTGTAAATAAATAATGTTAAAGACGATTCATTTTTTGGAGTTTACTTGCATTTTTTCAGCCATTTCTCAGCTGCATATAATTGAATCAAAAGATGTCGCCTGCTTCATTGTATCCTCATATTTTCAAGGCATCTGTTTTCAAAAAAGTACACGCGATGAAATAATTAAAATTAGCTGGCAATAAAAATAATAGGATGAATTTTTCGGTAAATAACGGTAAATACCATTGTTGAATAGTTTTATATAAATGAAATGATCTTCCTTACAACATTTCCAACCTATTTTATGTATGTGTTGCGCAGAGAGGGCAGGCACGCTTTTTAAGAAGGGTCATGTTCAAGTGTTCCTACTACATCAAAAACTTATTCCTACTACATCAAAAACTTAAACTAGATTTTCTGAACAGAATTCCAAAATCAAGTGAAACATAAACGAAATATTGAATATTGATTATATGACTATTGATATTGACCATATATTATATAACAAGTGGTTATGGCTCTCATAAGAAAGTACATCTGTTAAATAAAATTGAGTTGAAATAAAATACTGATCAGTAAGAACATTCTTGAAAATTTAACGTGATAAACAGTAGAAATAAATCGATGATTTTTGGCATAAGGACGCCATGATATATAAGTTTCAGCTAAGGGGCAAATGAGGGGTTTGTCCACACCACAGAGAATAGTCTTTACGCTACTGGGTTCAGTGGTGTAACTTGAAGGATGGTGGGGGCACTTTCAAGAGGATGGCTGGCTGGCATTTTTTTCAAAACAGTCTGACGTCGAGATTTTATATCTAATGCACTTTTTACAATTTTGAAAAATTTGTAGCTGTGGGAAAAATTTATTCAAAATTTTTATCTACTTTGCTTATTTCATTAACAGAATTGACGGTCTTGAAACATCAAAGCATTAATAATAATAATAAAATAAATAATAATAACAATAATAATAATAATTTATTCATGCTGTGTAGGTGGAAATAAGTCGACCAGCGTACAAACAAGTGTGGGTGGGGCGTTCGTCTGCTGTCTCATGCTCTGCTACAAACTATTCATTCAAATAAACATGCCGTGGAAGTTGGCTAGGTGATAAAAATTGTGATAATAGCAATAGCAATGATAATAATGATGAGAAGAATCTTTTGTTCGGCCATAAAATAATAAAAATGACAATGAAATGAAACAAATTGTCAAGTAGAATGAAATAAAAGTAAAATAAAATATCAAATACGTAGAGTATTATTATTTTAGTCTACGAAGCTCTAAAGAGAATGAGTACAACTAGGGTTCGTTAGTTTCAAATTTGACTCAAGTCACATTTCTGCGCAGTAAACAGCGTACGATGACGATATTGCAGATTTAATGAGGCTATTGCAATAATAATAATAACAATATTAATAATGATAATAATATTAATAAGAGTAATAATGATAACGATGGCGACTTACGTTACGAATTGTTAACATGATAATGTGCACATTATGCTGAGGTGGTTGTCTGCTCGTTTGGACCACGTGCTATACTTATTTAAATATAAGCGGTTCTTACAAATTTTTATTGAAAAAATTTTAAAATAATAAATTAATTGGTAGATAGTTGAGTGTAATTGCGCAATTCTCAAATCATGTCATTTCGCTTTTTAATTTTTACTTTTTTATAATATATATATATATATAAATATATGTAAAAATAAATTATTAACTTTTTAAAACTACCAATAGTTTCGTTAAGTTAATAATAAATATTTAATTTGTGTGGATTTAGTACTATAATTGAATTTTTAAATTAATTTTTAAATCATTTTAAATTTATTCAATAATAAATAAGTTTTCATAATTCAATGATTTCCAAACGAGAATAAAACAATTTAGGCCTTTAATTATTTTTATATACATATTGTAATTATATATATACATATATTTATATACATATATATATACAATATATATAATGTTTTACCAGTCACCGAGAATTATTTCAAATTGTCATTACGAACAAGTTTCGTACGTTTTGGAGACACAAATCAAGGTATGTTTCTATTTTATTTTTCAAACTTAATTAAATTAAAAATTTTCAGCTTATTAATTAATCAAATTATTAGTTATCTTTGATGTTTATTCATTTTTAAATTTCGCAGACGATATGTAGTCTGGCGTAACGTCTTTTAATTTTTTTTTGGTTTTATTTTCTTTTTTGTAAATATTAAATTATTAATTTATTAAATTAATATATTCAATTTTTTCTTTTTTTTGAAATTTTTTGTCTTATTGAAAATTGTACAAAATTGATGAAATGTATCCTGTTTATGAGGCTGGTCAAAAAAGTTATAATAACAGAAAGAATAATTTAGAAGACTTGCTTTTATCACTTTGTTCATTATCATTAGATGAAGATTCAGATTACAATTTGTTGGAAGTATTAAAATTAATTGATTGATTATTTAATTCTAATTTTTTATATTTACATGTATTCAATTTTCTTGATGCATGAACAATAGATAATTAATTGTTAATAAAATAAAACAATTACATTTTTTCTTTGTCATGCATTTGTTATCAATAGCTTTTTCTATTTGACTTTATTCATCATTATCCCATGCCAAAAAGCCCACATCCATCATATTTCAAAATTTTTATTTAATTTTCTTGAAAAAAAAAGTCTTCTTTTAGGTTTTTGAAAAAGAAAAGAAGCTGTTTTAAATATAGAACTAATCGAATTACCATACGCCATACAATTTTATATTTTCTTTATTGTTTTGTATGAATTAATATAAACTTAACTTCTATATAAAATTTTTATTTTAGAACTTTCCACATGATCACATGCCCATGCCATCTCATCACACATCAAATGTCTCATTGGAAGTTGATCAAGCACTGCCAGTAACAGCTGCACATTTGGTATTGCCCTCCCAATTTCGTTACTACAACAATGGCAATGTTGGCTGTCGTATTGGGACCCAACTTTGTACACCAGTGTTGCAATGTATATCGAATCGACTTGTATCAGCTAAATCTTCTGCTAATGATTTGGTTAGTACAAGTTTTTTAATAAAGAAGCTAATATTTTACATATTAGATTTCTAAATAAACTTGTTTTCATTAATTGTAATTTTCACATTAGAATAATGAGTTTTATTATTATGGCTCAGCTAAAGTCTGTCAGTGGTATAAAGAGCATCACATTTTTTAGTGCTTTCTTTGATGTTGGGACTTTATCAGAATGGTAATAAAATAGAACATTAATTTCCATTTGGAAATAGTCCAGAATGATTTGCTCATAGTTGTATTAGTTTTTTTTTTATGTTTAAAAATAAAAAATTCCTTAAAAGAAAATAAGGAATGCATCATTGTAGCAATTTTTTTTTGAAAGTTTGGAGACTAAAATGAAAGAAGTGATGATGAAATTGGAAAGTTTTGTTGTTTAATGATAAATAATTTGATTCAGGTTTAAAAATTATACAATGAACTAACATGAACAAAGTTAATTTGGCTAATTGTTACCACACATCAGTTATGTGTGTGGTATGTTAAATAATTTTCTATTTATTTAACTAACTTCAATTTGAATAAGTATTCACAGAACTGCTATGGCCTCTCTGGATTTATAGCACCGTCAACATCAGTAACAACACTAACATCAGCAACAGTTGCAGCAGCAGCAGCAACTACACCAGCCACACCACCAGGACCACAAACAGTTCATAGACAGAGAAGATTACATGTCTCCAACATTCCATTCAGATACAACGAGACTGATCTCATCAATTTGTTGCAAGTTGTCATCACCCTTATTATCATTCCCATCATTTTCATCATTTATCACTATTTTCAACACCATCCTTATGTTAATTTTTATCATAATCATTGTTATTTTTGTTACCTTTATTAAGATTTATTATTATTATTATTTAAATATTTGTTATCAGTGCAAAAAACTATTTGAAATTTTAAAATACTTTATTGTTATATCTTATAAATTAATATTTAAAAAATATATTTTATTTATGTGAATTCCAGCAATTTGGTCCCATATTGGAAGCAGAGATCATCTCAAATGACAGAGGCTCCAAGGTTAAATTTCTGCTGTTGGGTGACTGAGTCATCTGTTCATTTCGCTATTTGGACCAGTTCATTGTCTATATTGTATTTGAAATTCATTTACCATATATATCAGTTAATTTGTTGAAACATTATTCATCTGAGTCAATTAATTAATCAACTTTTATTATTAATTTCCTTGTACAAGTTCGTTAATTCATGATGACACTAGTCATTCAGTCATTTATTCATTCATTCATTTAGTCATTCATTCATTCAGTCATTCATTTATTCATTTCCTTTAGTTAATCCATCATGTCATGTCTTTGATCTATTAAGCTGAAAATGTACTGCAAAATGGATGTAGGGATGTGGGTAAAGAGAAAAATCTTTCTTTCATTCATTCATTCATTCATTCATTCATTCATTCATTCATTCATTCATTCACTCATTCATTCACTTGTCAATTCATTTGTCGCAAATTCTATTGTACATCCTTCTTCACACAGACTGTGTTGTTGTCATCTCATTGGTGCGTTCAAGTTATTGCCCGTTCTATCAATTTAACAGTGCAAGTTATTTCAAACTATCCTATTTATTATCCACGCAGTCCTGATGTGTGAAATCTGCTCCTTTCATCATTAATTGAAAAATCTAAAATTTGGTTATGTGTACCTGCATTTCACAAGGGCATTGCACATTGTCTCTTCATCTATTGATGAAGAGCACTTTCTAATCTAATGCATCCAACGGTCGTCCTACTCTCATGCTCAATATAGCTTCAATGTGGTACTGTTCAATATGATAAATTACATTTTTATGCTGCCATATTATATTTTCGTTGTTATATTTACACATCAAACATTTTATTTACTCCATGTTCTTTTCAGATGAATAATATGTAGAATGATTTTAATGTTTTCTTCACAACGATTATGTTATGGTAATTATAATAATATTTTATAACGTTTTTTGCAACACAAAACAGGTCTACAGCAGGTTTAGTATGCACGCACATACACATATACATAAACATACAGACAAACACACAAATTCATAAGCACACATATATTATACATGTTTGAAACTATTCATTTTTGTCTGCTATTATCAAAAAATTATTTTTATCTCTAGATATTTATATTATTGTTTAATATAAATGCATGATTCATCTGTCTTCTTGTTTGCATATTGGAGGCATGGTTATTGGGAATTTTGTATTGCACTTAGCTTTGCATTTGAACACTTACTGTGTACTTTCTTGGTAGTTGCACGAAAACTTTTTGCACCCAGGAAAAAGTTAAAGGCAAATCTATATGAAAAAAATACATTCATATTCAAAGTCTGGCATATATGTGAAGCCTCGTCAACAACATTTATGATTTCACTTATTATTTTACACCTTATAATTTGTATGACTAATACTAAGCTCTGATATTTATTTTCTGGCTTAAACATGTTACTTGTTCGTTACTGACCACGCATGAATTATTATTGTTCATTAATGCATGGAATTCCATGTGATGCTTTGATTGTCTTGGCTTAAAGCCTGTGAGTAAGTGCATGTGCAAATTCTTATAAACACTCCAAAGTGATAAACACTTCAATGCTAACACTTATAAATGGGCTTTCGCGAGCACACACAAACCAGTACAAACGGATGCATATACGTGCAGACTTACACACACATAGACACACACAGGTTCATATAAACAAACACATATAGAGACAGACAGACAAACACACACACCAAAGGACATGAACAAATATTAATAGATACTAGTGATTGTTAAAATCACAGACTGTCTGCCCTGTTGGTGAAGGAAGAGGAGGAGGATAATGAGCATGCAGGTGGTGGAATGATTTTGTGATAGTAGGTGATAGTGGAATTGAGAAAACGAAGATTTCTACAACATTTGCAGTTTTAAATATTTTTTTAACTTTCATCCATCTCAAACTTTTCTTCATTTGTGGTGTTGAATGACTGTTGAATGTAATTGGTTCATGTAAGATGTTAATTGAATAGAACATAAGTATTATCTAACATTTTTTTTTTCATTTCTTAATGGTAAAGTTAACCAATTTTGTTTTTTTTATGTTGCATAACTTTTATTGCTTTATACTTCTCACGCACCTAAACAAGTTAATCATGTCAGTCCAGTATTATATGCCAAACATTTTCACGTCCTGCAAGCAAATTTACGTTTTTGCATGTTCAAATGTCTCTACGGTCACCAGCACGTTTTAATATGTACTTACAGTATATGCACACTATACCATGCTTGATATATAAACAGTGAGTCTGTGTTTATGTTTAAATACATTATTGAAATTCCATTGCTCAAATGATGTTTCACTCAATGTTTTCACATGATATTAATCTGAATGTTAGTTAGTTAATTAGTTGATAAAATTTATTATAAATCTTCTATTTATTTTCACTGGTACCTGGTATGTTGCAGCATAGTATGGTTGTGATGGATGTGGCATCAAAAGAAATGGGGAGGAGGAAGAAGGATAAGTTTGTGGCAAAGAGAAAGACATGGAAGTTACAGGATGCAGAGGTGAGGAAGGCATTTGAAGTGAAGGTGGCTGAAAGTTGGGAGAGTGGTAAGGATGGAGATGTTTGGGAGAGATATAGGGACTGTGTGTTGACTACGGCAGATAAAGTATGTGGATGAACGAAAGGAAAATGTAGGCATGGTGAGACGTGGTGGTGGAATGGAGATATAAGAAAGGTTTTGGAGGTCAAGAAGGAGAGGTTTAGGGTGTGGAGAAGGGACATGACGGGGGAAGCGGAGTTTGAGCACAGGAAGGCTAAGAAGGTTGCAAAACGGGCAGTGGCAACTGCAATGACGAAAGCATCAGATAGGTTAATGAGGGAAATGGAATTTGATGTGAGTTCGAGGAAAATGTTCAAAGTAGCAAAGCAGTCAATGAGGGATGGGAAAGATGTTATAGGGAATGGATATGTTTGGGATGGATCTGACAAGTTGTGCATAGATGAGAAGGAAAAAGCTCAGGTGTGGAAAGCCCATATGGAAAGGTTGATGAATGAAGAAAATGAGTGGGATAAAGATGTGGAATCCGCGGTCACACACGGACCCATAGAGAAGGTGACGATGGAGGAAGTAGAGAAAGCAGTTAGAGAAATGAAACTAGGTAAGGCGACAGGGGTTTCGGAAGTGGCGGCAGAACATATAAAGGCGAGTGGGGTGATAGGAATTGAAGTTATGATGAGAATTGCTAACAGTATGTTTGATGATGAAGGTATACCTGAGGATTGGCGACAGAGTGTGTTGGTGCCGTTGTATAAGGACAAAGGAGATGTGAGAGATTGTGGGTCATATAGGTGAAATTGCTAGAGCATGGAATGAAGGTAGTGGAGAGGGTGCTTGAGAGAAGGTTGAGAAATATGGTGATAGTTAATTAAATGCAGTGTGGGTTTATGCCTGGTAGGTGAACGGTGGATGCGTTGTTCATAGTGAGAATGCTGCAGGAGAATTATAGAAAGAAGAAACGAAGATTGTACATGTGTTTTGTGGATCTAGAAAAGGCTTTTGATCGAGTACCGAGGAAGGTCATTGAAAGGGCGCTGAGGAAGAAAGGAGTGAATGAGAGACTTGTTAAAGCTGTGATGCAGCTGTATGAAGGGGTGAAGACAAAGCTGAGGGTCGGAAGGGGGATGTCGGACGCTTTCAGTGTTAAGGTAGGAGTGCATCAAGGATCAGTGTTATCACCGTTTTTGTTTGCAATTGTGATGGATGTTGTGTGTGGAAACATAATGGAGGGGTTGTTATTTGAGATTTTGTATGCAGATGATTTAGTCTTGATGGCTGATAGCATGGAAGAATTGCAGTTAAAATTTGACAGATGGAAAAGTGTTATTGAAAAGAAAGGGTTAAAAGTTAATATTGGTAAGACGAAGGTAATGGTGAGTGGGGAAGGTGGGGAGCAAGTGATAAGTAAAATAGACCCCTGTGGGGTATGTGACAGGAGAGTGAAGGCTAACTCGGTATTGTGTATAGGATGTCAGAAGTGGGTGCATAAGAGATGTCGTGGTGTGAGGGGGGCACTGAAAAAGGTGGAAGGCACGTTCAAATGTAAGAAGTGTGTTCATGGGGTGATTAATAGGACGGACTCATGGACGGGGTTGAGTGGTGGTATTGAAAGAGTGGAAAGCTTTGTTTATTTAGGGGTTAAGCTGAACGCGGATGGAGAATGTTTGAACGCTGTTACGACTAGAGTTCGTGTGGGATGGATGAAATTTAGGGAACTTGGTGGGGTATTGTGTGGAAAGAAATGGTCAGTGAAAATGAAAAGGAGGGTATATAAAGCTCGTGTGAGAGCAGCGATGGTATATGGTGGTGAAACTTGGGTGTTGAGGAGAGAGGATGAAAGTGTACTGCAGAGGGCTGAAAGAGCTATGGTGAGGATGATGTGTGGGGTGAAAGTGAAGGATAGGAGGAGTAGTACAGAGCTGATGTCGAGGATGGGACTGAATGAGGACATTGTGACATTGATAAGGAGATCGAGATTGCGGTGGTATGGACATGTGTTAAGAAGGGATGAAAGGGTCGGGATTAGGCGAGTGTTGGAGTTCAAGGTTGAAGGAGTGATAGGAAGAGGTCGTCCGCGACTGGGATGGAGAGAGCAGGTGGAGAAGGACAAAGTGTAAGCGGGGTTGCGTGATACTGAGGCGAGTGACAGATGTGAATGGCGTCGAGGGGTATTTCGGTTTCATCATAGGTAGCCAAACGGCAACCCCCGATCTCGGGGAAAATGTCGTCTAAACGTGTGTTTTTGTTGTTTTATTTTCACTGACTGGTTGAAGCAATGAATTCATTTGGTCCTGTAGCTTTTCAATTGGCTTTGGGTTTATGGTTGATTAGTTGTTACTGAAATTTTTAGTTGATAAGATAATTACTATTTGACATTTACAATTCACATTTGACGTGGCATCATCTGATTACCTGTTTAACTGCTTGATAAACCACTTGATGCTGCATTGTTGCTGTCGATTTTGTTCATTACGATGATGATTGTGATGATGAGTAGGAGAAGGGAAGTTTAAGATTAGTTTTGTAGTATGCGTCAATCCTCTTATATGCTTTTTCATCATCGTCGTCGTCATTTCCATCATCACCATCTTCATCACCGTCATCATCATCGCCATCTTTATCACCGTCATCATCATCATCACCATCTTCATCACAACGTACCAGGGATTTGGATTTGCAACGTTTGCCAATGCGAAAGATGCTGAGATGGCCAGGTTGAAGTTGAATGGAGTCTTTGTTGAAGGCAGAAGGATTGAGGTTATGATGGTGGTGGTGGTGGTTTTGATGATGGAATGAAGATCTGATGATGATGATGATAAAATAAATCCTTATCATTACTCAGGTGAACAATGCAATAGCAAAAGTCTTCAACAAGAAATCTCACGCTTTAAATGATGGTTAATTACCTTGTTTTTATAAGTTGATCATAATTCACACTTTTCGCACCGTTCAATGACAAGTATTGCCTTTTATTGAAAAATTTCCAAAATGAAAATGGTTTCATTTTTTTCGCTCATATAATATTGTCTAATCAGTTGTAAAATAATCATCAGAGAGCAGAAACATTCCTGAGAAGATGCTTTTGATGCAAGCCAAACTGGCCAAAAATATTATCAATGGTGGCAACAACGTACAGTTAACTCTGATCAACAGCAGTAACTATACCAGCATCCCAACATTTCCTCATGTCATCAACACAGCAGTCACTCATGTCATTAACACAACAGCTGTGCCCAGTAGCAATTCAATTTTTTCTTATGTCAGTCACACTTTGGCCCCTTCCTATAACAACACTGTAGTTTCTCCTGAGAGCAATTTTTATGGAGACTTGTCTGCCGATCAAAATTGCTTCCAAAAAAGTGAAAATAAACTTGAGACTACATTAAGTCTTCCTTCGTTGCAGTTAGTTAAGTTTGTTTGTACATACTAAATGTTCAGCCATAAATGTTCAGCTATTTATCATTTGTTAGTATTTGCAACTAGAGATGCACTGACTGTTCGGCTTGGCATTCAACACAATTTGGCTGAGATTTGACATTCAGCTTTGGCAATTTTTAGGCCGAATAGCCAAATGTTGTAAGTTTTGTATAAACCATAATTTCTTTGGATTCCAGGACAATAATTGTTGATTTTTATTAGCGGAGAGTTTGTTTTGGCCATCACAGCTGTTGAATCATTTAAATTTGAACAAAAGATTGTATGTAATATTTGGCCAAATTTACTATTCGGTGCATCTCTATTTACAACTCCATAACAAACTAATAAAGATTTTTAAATATAATATCATAGCCATAAGAAGTAGTATTAACTCAAGCTCATGTTTTTAATGAACTGCCAATGCGTTGAGCTATTCAAGTTTTAATGACTCTGATAATTATGACTAATAACTAAGATTTATGAATTTCCATGGAACTACTAATGCTATGATATTGGGGACAATGATAAAAGGATAATGATGATATCACATGCATTTATTAGCTCACTGAACTTATTACAACCTACAGACACCTAGAAAGCAGCAGAGTGCTGACAACAATGAATAACAACATCAGAAACTTTGTATATATTAACAATAATGTTAATAGTATCAGCAACAACAGTATTGGCAACGTGAGCAACAACAGTAATGGAATTAATGGTAACAACTTCGCCAACATTAACAAGAGCACCCCCACCAGTAACAGTAGCAATGGAGTTAGTATTAGCAACACGAACAGCAATGACAGCAGTGTTACCTACAATGTACTTCAGGTGATCTGTTTATTTGTTGTTGTTGTTTACATACACTTTGCAATGATTATGTAAGTTTTCTGAAGATGGAACAATTGTAAAAGTTGAAAGTAATAATGCCATCAGCTGTTGGTTGGCTGACGTGGTCAAAAGCAAAAACATACAATCAAACACAAATAAACAAACACACGCATACACAAACAAACACACATACAGACCCTACAGTTGAGTCAGCTACCAAGAACTGGTGCACTGCATCCGATCACTAAGATGGAAAAGTAATCTCATTCTTTTATTTGTCATATTTTGTCATTCAGTCATTTATCACATTTTTTGTTTTTCCTGTTTTTCAATTAATCAGTCATCAGCTTCTCTCTCTCATTCATTATATCTTTTAGTTTGAATCTTTCCGTCATATTTCGTTACATTACATTTTCCAACGTCTTGGCTGAAACACTCCCAGATTAGCAGTTAGGATTAACACATAAGGTAATATGGTAGCAACATAATACAATATAACGTAGACGTAATTTCAAATTACGCATACTGTACGCTTTTGTACATCAAGAAAACATGCAATATGCAACTAATACATTAAACAGATACACAAGCTAAGATAGCAAATAGTAGATTAATAAATTAGAAGCCGGTGAGCTATAGAAACTAACCAACTGTAACCTCCTTTAAATATCTAATAGAACGTTAAACAGACACTTCGGTTAGCTTACTTTCACTTATATATAATCATTCGAAGTTACTACTAGTCCCACATGCAATTCAATTACTTCAGCTTGCGTTTATGTCCGTTTTATACCTTCCAATAAGCATGTTTGTAATTACCGTTACTTATGGTCAATTTGGAATTGGATTAAGGACGCAGGCAAGTTTGCCGGAAACTCTCCAAGATCGATTTGTAATTTCACAACTTTCATAGAGACAACTTTCCTAGTATTGAGAGGCGGACGTTGTTTCATAAAATGGCGAAGAAAGCTTCTTCGCAACAATATGTTGAAGTTGTAGAAATAAAATAAGTATGTAGTGGAGATTTTAAGAATTTGTTACTGGTGAATTGACAGTATAATTACTGATTAGTTATTAGTGTTTATTAAAGTTTGTTGAATATCATTAATTTCATTCGGGACTGTTTGATATTGATGCATTCTTTGACATTCAAATTTTATGTTTCCGTGTTCCAGGAAGCCACTTACTCCTTGTATCAGTCTGGCCAGTAATTATCAACAACATCATCTTCAGCATCATCTTCAGCAGAAGTTTCATCAGCATCGCCAACTCCAACAGCAATCCATGCAACTGAGGCCGAAATTTGATGGCACAATCGTGCCATTAAATCGCAATATCACTAAAAGTAACGTTAGTATGTGACTGACATGCATTCATTTTTTCAAGAATATTTATTGAAAAACTTTTTTTTCGCTTGTCTCAGCCAATGAAGATTATAATGTAAGTAATTCGGAAGCCATTTATAAAAAGTGTTTCCTTCTTCACATCAGATGTTTTCAGCTTGTTTTGATATCATTCTCATCCAAAAAGAGATTGACCTTATATTATAAGCTGAGATATTTTAAAAACGTCTTGGTAACTAAATCTGAATCAGATAGAGAACAAAAATGAAGAAAATTTAAAATGTGATGTAATGTACCTGATTATGAAACCAGAGTGCAGGAAATGAAAGAGATAGTCTGCCAAGTAACGAGGGCCGTGCAAAATGATTTGCGCAATTTATTAGAATTGTCAGTGGCACGAAAGAAATCATCTGAGTAGAGTGCATACGTATTTCACTTGCCAATTGTTATCATTGATTTGTCTTTTTTTGGTGTAATTTTCATAATTATACTATATTTTTATTAAAAAAATTATACATTTATTTCAGGCTGCTCATTCCAGCAATGAATATGCAAGATTTGCCCCCTATTAACACCACCTGATTTGTCTCCGTACTTGTTTTAACTGATATAATTGCTAATCACTAATGTCTTATCCAACGCGAAACACCCAAATATTTTCCAACTAGAACATAGACGCGCATGAATGAACAAAGCACCATTGCACGCGGTGCATGTAGACATAGACAACCACACACACACCTCCGTCGACAGCCTCATTGAACAGAAGAAAAGCTCGAATTTACGCACCAAAGCGCTTGCACAATCGTTTATATTTGCACTTTTAAATTTTTAACAAGCAATCATTCCGTCCGTTACAAATTTTTTATCGACTAATCTTGTTCGTGTTTTTACTTTTGTTTGAATTCTATCAATCTATTTTATTTTGACAATTGTTTTCAATCACTAACCACCTCGTTATTTTTAAGTTATAACACAGCGAGCCAGCCACTAGTCAAATTATGCACATTTTTCATCGCAAGGAACGTCAGGAAGATTTTTGAACAACTTTAAAATAACTGAGCCTTAATCATTGTTTCTTTTGTTCTGTTTTTCAATGTTCTCAGAGAAATGTTATTTCGATTTCATTAAAAAAAAGAGGATTACAAATTTTTTGATTTATATTACAATAGAACAAATATCCGACAACACAGTGCATGGCAATTTAATAACGTGATGGTTACTAACAAGCACTGCAGATCACCAATCAGCTACAAACCAGATAACAACATTAACAAAAACAGCAGTCAGGAAAACTACCAGACCATAATGCATAGATACTTATATGAAACAATGTTTTTAACGTATTCATAAAAGAAGGAATGAACGTCACTCAAGTGATACCCAACAAAATGTGAATGCATAGACTGAGTTCACACACTTAGAAGCATTTTCTGTGGACAATTGAAGGTCCAGATTCGTCATATTCCTGTTTGCTGATCCACATTTGTTGAAATGTTGAGAGGGATGCCAGGATGGACCCACCAATCCATACAGAATACTTTCTCTCAGGTGGGGCAATGATCTTAATCTTCATTGTGGCTGGAGCAAGAGCAGTAATTTCTTTCTGCATTCTGTCAGCAATGCCAGGGAACATTGTAGTGCCACCAGACAACACAGTGTTGGCATACAAATCCTTACGAATATCCACATCACACTTCATTATGCTGTTGTATGTTGTTTCATGAATACCACATGACTCCATACCCAGGAAACTTGGCTGAAAGAGGGCTTCTGGACAGCGGAAACGTTCATTACCAATGGTGATGACTTGACCATCAGGAAGCTCATAGCTCTTCTCGAGGGAAGATGATGCAGCTGCTGTTGCCATCTCCTGTTCAAAATCAAGAGCAACATAGCAGAGCTTCTCTTTAATGTCTCTCACAATTTCCCTCTCAGCCGTGGTAGTGAAGCTGTAACCTCTCTCAGTCAAAATTTTCATCAGGTAGTCAGTCAAATCTCTTCCAGCAAGATCTAAACGCAAGATGGCGTGAGGCAAAGCATAACCTTCATAGATGGGTACAGTGTGAGTTACACCATCACCAGAGTCAAGCACAATGCCAGTTGTACGTCCAGATGCATAAAGAGACAGAACAGCCTGGATGGCCACATACATGGCAGGAGAGTTGAATGTTTCGAACATGATTTGAGTCATTTTTTCCCTATTGGCTTTTGGGTTGAGGGGAGCTTCAGTGAGAAGAACTGGATGTTCTTCAGGAGCAACACGCAATTCGTTGTAGAATGTGTGATGCCAAATCTTTTCCATGTCATCCCAGTTTGTAACAATACCATGTTCAATAGGGTACTTTAAGGTCAGGATACCTCTTTTGCTTTGTGCCTCATCACCAACATAGCTATCTTTTTGACCCATTCCAACCATGACACCCTGTATGTTGAAAAAAGTATTAGAAATAAAATAAATGAATTGGTAAAATCTTGCAATTAATGTTTTAAGCTTTTCAAGTTTACACATACATATAATTTGTAACGGAAAAACATTCTAAATGATTTTAAAAAATTTATTTTAGCCAAATGAGAACTTAACCCATAAAGCCAGTCTTATATTAAATAAAATTAAAGAACTTTAACATGACACAAGGAATTAGTCAGTATGACTCAATTAGAAAATGAATTGGTTTTGCTAAAATTTGTAGCTAAACTCATTTTCTTATTTAAATTTTAAATACTTGAATTTTATTTTTCAAATTTTAAGTAATAATAAGAAAACTGTAACAATATGATTTTTTGTCAACCTGATGTCTGGGTCTTCCAACTATGGACGGGAAGACAGCTCTTGGAGCATCGTCTCCGGCAAAACCGGCTTTACACATGCCGGAACCGTTGTCAACAACAAGAGCGGCAACATCATCTTCGGCCATTTTTTATATTTTTTTGGTGTTTGAACGTTGGAAAACTGAAAAATGAACATCAATTTCATTGAATAAATAAATTAAAAATAAATAGATTTAGGTGACGCTAGCTTATTTTGCAAAAAACGGAACAAAAAATAAAATGTTTGAAGTTGAACTTTGAACAAGACGATAGAAAGAGCGCCTTATTTGAAATTTAAACTTGAATCTTCTAACCCGCAAGTTTGTTTACAATACACATTAGAAATGACGTACAAAGAAGAATGGAACAAAGTATGAAAAAAAAAGAATTAAAAGCGGAAAACTAACTTTGAAGCGACAATCTCCCCTCAACAAAAACGACAGAAATTATCAACAAAACGCTCGACACGCGATTTTATAAACTTTTAACCGGAACAAGAAGACGCCCAGCACATTGCCTTATATGGTTAAATTTCAAATTCGTCTTTTCATTGGTTTCAAAACTAGGTTGATAAAATTTGATTGGTTGAAATTGTGACCTATACATTTTTCATTGGCTAGTTGTACTGCCTCGTTGCCATTACTATAAAAAAAGTTATGGCTAAAAGTTAATTGTAATAATTATCATAATTATTGGCAGCTGCGTATCAGTTTGGTCTGCAACCGATAATTTTTGATATTATTTTTTCATTATTTTTTTTCTTGGAAAGTTTATGTTTAAAATAATTTATCCAGCTCACAAATTAATTATTTTAAATTAATTTTCCTACAGCCATAACAGAAGTTGCTAGGTGAGCACAACCAAATAGGGTAAATTTCAAACGAAACCACACCACTAATTATATCCGGAATCTATATTTACTCAACACTACTAGTAAGTTAACAAAAACAATTAACCAGCACACGCACGTAAAGACTAACACGTACAGAAACCAACAGACAGACACATACGCACAACAGAACGATCGAACGCACGCACATATCGGCAAATAAAAACATACAATCATTCATAAAAAAAAAATTCACACACACACCACACAAATCCATTGAGCTTCAACTAGAAACATATGAACAGACATAATACTAGCAAAAATACACGACGCATACACGCATGCAAACAAACATGGCAAATAAACAACACTCACATACCCGGTCAAACACGGGGAGATATGTTTGAAACACATGTGAAATTTTAATTGCTGTAGAATGATTTACATACGATATTTTTATATTATCGAACTTGATAGTTGGATTATTCACATGTGAACGTTGTTGATGCAGTGCACGCAAAAGTATAACACACACACACACAAAAACAAAAAAATATCCTGTACACTCACAAAACATACAAACACACAACATACAATGCGCAACATACAATGCACAACATATAAATACAATACATACAAAAACAACATACAAACACGCAACACACAGATCCAACTTACTAACACACAACATGAAAAACAATATACAAAATACACACCATACTAACATACAACAAACAAACACACAACATACAAACTTATAATAAAACATACAACGAACACACAACATACACATAAACTGACATCATACAACAAGCATACAACTGATGGTAACCAGAAAAAAAGCATTCAGGAAAAAATGTCTTCAGAAAAAATATCTTCAGTAAAAATATCTTCATTCAAAAAGGTCTTCCAGAAAAAATGCCTTCAAGAAAAAAAGTCTTCAAGAAAAAAAGTCTTCCAGAAAAAACGTCTTCAGGAAAAAAAGTCTTCCAGAAAAAAATCCAACGATACTATTTTATTTTTAAAATATTCATACATACAAAAATGAAATTACATTTTTACATAAAAAATTTGTTACAATAAAAATTAATAAAAATCATAATAACTTTATTATGTTCTTTGTGTATTAATATTATCTGAGAGGTTTATTGGAATGGATTATAGGGTTGTTAAAGTGTTACAGCATGTGCCAAAAACGGTTCTAGGACAATTACCCCCCGGACAAATACCTCCCGGACAATTACCCCCCGGACAAATACCCCCCACGCAAATAACTCCCCGGACAAAAAAACCCCCGGACAATTATCCCCCGGACAATTACCCCCCGGACAAAAAACCCCCCAAACAATATACCCCCGGACAAATACCCCCCCACGCAAATAACCGCCCGGACAAATACCCCCAAAACAAAATACCCCCAGGACAATTACTCCCCGGACAATTTTTGTTTTCAAATTATGATTTATATTATTATTATTAATATTAACAGACAATACGAGACGAGATAGAATGCAATTACTTATTAATTTATAATACAGACAGCCAAAAAACACAAACCGTTGATGATAAAGATTTAAACATTATGCAAAAGACCATAAACATATAATTAAGTAAATTGGTTCTCAAGCTTTCTAGCGCAAATTGGCATGTAAATTTAGAACAATCAATGATGATTGATGATGAGAAAGCAATTCGCATGCATTTAATCAATAGTGTAATTTAAATTTAAAAAAAAAAAGAATTTTATTTCAAGGTTTCTTTGTGTATTAATATCATATAAAAAGTTTATTGGCATGGACTTTAAAGTTGTAAAAATTTTAATCGTTATTTTATTCTGTTACTATGGAAATTATTGAAAATAATAAAGGAGGTCAGAAGTTGTGTTTGGAAGGGTATATGTATACAAAAAAATTGAGTAGAGGAGCAACGATTCGTTGGCAATGCTCTAGAAAAACATTTTTCAACTGTTTAGGAGCAATTTCAACAAACATTGAGGTAAATAATCAATATATCTTTTTATTTGTTAATCTGATATATAAATATAAATTCATTTCAATGTATATATATTGTCTTTACTAAATTATATAATTAGATTACTGAAATAAAGTGTCAGAAAGAACACAACCATGTTTTAGAACCCGAAGAAATTGCAAAGGCGAAGGTTTTGAATGAAATGAAAAAGACTGCTATACTATCTTCTACGGCCAAACCGAGCCAAATATATGCAGATGCTTTATCGGGGTTAGATGAAGAAGACAGAGCAAATGTAGGCCATAAAGATCACGTGACAAAAACAATTAGAAACCAACGCCGCAAAAATATTCCAATTGAACCATCCAATACAGAATTCGAAATACCAAAAGCTTGGCAGATGAGAGAAGGCAACGAAAATGTCATCATCTACGACAGTGGAGCCAATCCATTCAACCGGATAATTGTTTTTTCGACATTCGTGCAATTACAACAAATGGGAAGAAGTACTAGGTAGTTACATTTTATTTATTTAGGAAGAATGCGGTTTATTAAATTAATTAGTTACTTCGAAATTGAAGTTCCATCTGTAATTAAACCACTTCGCTTATTTTTGATATATATTAACTATTATATATTTGCAGATGGTTTATGGATGGTAATTTTAGCTTGTCTCCAAATATTTTTCACCAACTGTACTTTATTAGAGTTGCCTATCTTAACCATTATGTAACATGCGCCTATGCCTTAATGACATCAAGAAATCAGGCGTCATATAAAGAAGTTTTTAGGGCAATTAAAGATAAGGCGCAAGAACACAACATAATTTTGGCTCCAACCACTGTTATGTTAGACTTCAAAATTGCCCCCAGACGTGCCTTACATGATATCTTCGGTGCAAACGTAGAAGTTGTAGGATGTTTTTTCCATTTGACACAGTCAACATGGAGAAAGGTATAGTTGCATGCTTTGTTAACTATTTTTAATCAATTGTCATTTTGCCTGTTTGAATGAAATTTTGCTATGGATTTTTTATTTTTTATTTATTTGTTATCTCAAATTCAGATAGCAGAGCTAGGTCTAACAACCATTTACAAAGAGAGAGATGATGTTAGACATTTTGTTGGCATGCTAGATGGCATTGCTTTCTTGCCAATAAACCGTTTGTATGATGCCCTCCAACACCTAGAAAGGAATATTCCAGATGTACCCGGACTAGAAAATCTTTTCATTTATTTCGATAAAACATATGGTAGAGGGCCCTTCAGGAACAACAACAACAATAATAATAATATCAACCAAATTAGGTTGATCCGAATGCCTGCTCTATTTCCGCCCGAAACATGGAACGTTTTTACGATAACATTAAATGGTCATGAAAGGACTAATAACGTTTGTGAAGGTTGGAATAATAGTTTTCACAATTTAATTGGCCATTTTAATCCATCGTTATGGACTTTAATCAGTGCCATCAAAAAAGATCAAACATCTGCTCTAACATCTATTGGTCAAATTGACCGAGGAATTCAAATAAATAAGCCGAAAAAACGACAGTCAAAATATTTCCAAGAAAGAATGGAACGATTGTGCAAAGACGGCCGAAGATCTACATTGGAGGCTTTAAGAGCCATAGGACACTGTATTGTGTTAAATAGGAAAAATTTACCAATGATTTAAGTGTATTTTATGCGATAGACATTTATAGAGATATTTTTTATTTGTCATTGACCTCTAAACATAATTTTAAAAATGTTTTTGAAGGTAATTTCGTTGAATAAATTTTTTTCTTGAAGACTTTTTTCTTGAAGACTTTTTTTCTTGAAGACATTTTTTCTTGAAGACGTTTTTTCTTGAAGACATTTTTTCTTGAAGACATTTTTTCTTGAAGACTTTTTTTCCGAAGATATTTTTTCTGAAGACTTTTTTTCCTGAAGACTTTTTTTCAGGGATTCACAACTGATACCTTATACATACACACACACACACACAAACACACACACACACCACACACACAGCACACACACACACACCAGAATAACATACAAAAACACGACATAGTCACATATAAACAAACGAAACACACGACATTCTTAAGGTACAAAAAATTCACATTTATTAATCACAGTTCTTTCTCAATTAATTAAAATGATAATGATGACGATGATGAGGGTGATGACGACGATGACAATGGAGATAAGTTGGTCGACAATGATGACGACGATAGTGACGTCATTATTGAAAAATGAAAATAGTAACATGAATGATAATAATAATAATAATAATAATAATAATAATACAAATAATAATAGTATAAATATTATCGAAATAGAGTATAGTGTCGATTTCCTTACTCTTAACTTCTTACAAGTTTTTTAATCAAGGAGTATCATTTGTGTTTCTACTTAATTCATAAAATCATAAACAAACGTTACGTAAGCAGATATACAAGTAGATATTTGTATATGCGTGTGTCAGTGTATTTGTATGTTTCTGTTGTTGAGTGTGTTGCGTATGTTTAGCAGTTTAGCAACAAATTTTATTTAAAAGTACTGCGTGTTGGCTTCTAAATGTCTTAATGTTCTTTGTCCTGATTATTTAGAATCTTCCCGTAGAACTGTTTGTTTACTAACATGAAAGTTGTCTCTTGGGTCTTCCACTGATGTATGGTGATGAATATAGAGGACAAGTTTTTTTTATAGAAATCTCCCCTTATCACATGAGCTTTGTACCTTCAAAGTCTCCAACTACTTTTCTTTGTCGTATTAGATTCTATCTTTTCAAAGAAACTGATTAATAAATTTATCTTGCAATTATTAATAATAATAATAATAATATTATTATTATTATTATTATTATTATCATTATTATTATAACAAGGTTTCGTGCGTGCAGGTCTGCTCAGTTGTATTGATATGTATCATCATTTGTAGCAGGATATAATGCACTATCTTAGACACTGCTTCCCCTTTGGTTATGTAAATTATCTTCCGAGGAATGTTTAGTAGTGGAATTAAGTAACTGATTGAATGTATTTGTGAGCATGTATAAATATATTTATAAAAAATTCAGCCTAGTAAGATAAAAAACGGCCTGATGAAAGTGAGTAGTTGGAAGAAACCTCGCCACAATCCAGGTGGAAAAAGAAGCAGCGGTGATTAAAATACAAAATTATGAAGTAAAATTGAATTTATTTTTCAAAAGTTTTGTAATATAATCCTGGAAACTTAAATGCAGCACCGAAAGCTTTATTTAAGTTGAAAGGGGTGATGAATAATTAAAGCCAAAAAGATGAACACTCAACGTCATAATCATTATCAATATCACCGTCATCATCATCATCATCTTCAATATCACCCATATCATCATCATCATCATCATCATCATCATCATCATCATCATCATCATCATCATCATCATCATCATCAACATTATCTTCAACATCATCCATATCATCACATCATCATCGTCACATCATCATCACATCATAATCCATATCATCATCACATCATCATCGTCACATCATCATAATCATCATCATCATCGATCATCATCACATCACCATCAGCTCATCATCATCAGCATCATCTTCTTCTTCTTTTTCTTCTTCTAAAAATTGTAAGCATGGTCCGACAAACAGTGAATACACGCAACTCAACTCCACAAGCGGATGTATTGTTATTTTGTTATTTCTATTCTAACTCGCTGACGAAGTTTCCTAGTGCTTTTATTATTTCTAATGGTATAACAACGTAAACCAACAATGTAACACTCTCACACACATTCACATACATACAGAACACGTACAACGTACAAACATACATGCGTGCCCACATTCACACCGACATACACACCAATACACACGCGCTCACACGCAGACAAACACAAGCCCCAAACACGCACACACACACACGCACACACACACACACACACACGTATATATGTATATATATATAGATAGATATCTATATGACACAAATTTGATCATAACGGATGTTGATTAAATTGAAATCCTATTTGCTGCAGACGACATCCGTGTTTCTTTAACGATCATCATCATCGTCGTCGTCGTCATCATCATCATCGTCGTCATCATCAACAACACCACACGTTAACTCATTCATCGTTATTGTCATAAATATTTTATTTTATCAATCTTTTTAAATCTAATTTTCATCATCATTATAGTCTTAAATATCATCACCATCATCACCGACATCCTCATCGTCGTCATCATCATCATCGACATCATTATCAGCAGCATCTGCATTGGCATCATCATCATCAGCATCATCGTTCATTAACACTAAACGTAAAGCCATTCATTCATTTTAATTGCCCTTACTATTTTATTTATCTTCCCGAACATAATAATAATAATAAATATTAATATAATTATTATTATTGTAATTATTACCATTATGATAATAATTATAATTATCGATAATATCATCATCAACACTAGCATCATTCACTTTTTACTCGTTCGCACGGAAAGAACCGCGCAACGAAAAATGTTGTCTCTTTTTAAAATTTTCAGTCTTTCAATTTTACATTTTAAATTATTCTAGTGCGACATAGATTGAAAGAAAAAATGACTGACTGACTGACTGACTGACTGACTAACTGACTCACTGACTCACTGACTCACTGACTCACTGACTGACTCACTGACTCACTGACTCACTGACTCACTGACTCACTGACTGACTGACTCACTGACTCACTGACTCACTGACTCACTGACTTACCGACTCACTGACTCAAAAACTCGCCAACTTGACGCAAAACTGTTTAATAAGCAAAACAGAGTCACCGGTAACGACAAGCTGGCTGTCCCACACATGTTTTAATGTGAAAAACTAAAGATAAAAGAACCGTGCATTCTGTAGACAGCAAAATAAGCGAAAATAAATCAGTTGATATTTTTCTCTCAAAGAGTTAAGCTATTACGACAGAATCAAATTTCAAGTCAAAAATGTTGCGTAGTAGCAAGAGGAAGGAGGAGATGGTAGAAAATGAGATGGTAAAAAATAATAAATATAATTTTTTGTCAATCTATACATGACACAGAGTAGCAATATCGGAGAGCTGGAAAACAACACCAACAACAACAACAACAACAACAACAACAACAACAACAACAACAACAACAACAACAACAACATGATTGATTTATTGAGGAAATAATGCAGTGAATTAAAGGCAAACATTTACAATTATTGACATGCGCTCAGTAACTTGAGAAGAAATAATCATTTTCAGATAATTCTTAATATTTTGAAATTTAAAAATTTAATTTTATGGACTTAAAATTATAAAACAATGTTCCAGAAAACTGCGTTCTCGTTGAAGTAGGCTACATATCGCTTGGCTCAAGAGTGAGACATCTTGAATCAACATCTTAAATATCTGCTAATGAAATAAAAATTAGAGAAGTAGAAACACTTAATTAGTAGCTAAAAGGTAACTCATTCGATTCAACGTAATTTTATCTTCTATAAAGGATTTATACATGATTCGAATACTAACATGTAGGTGCTGCTTCTGTAATTTACCCTCAATATTTTTATATCCTGGTTGCATGAATAAGCGTATTGTTGACTATTGTTAATAGTCACTGTGTGAATTAACCTTCTTTCTTGGCTCTTGTTGTATCCTGGTCTAATTATATAAATATGAATGTCATTTTATCGAAAATTAAAAACATAAATCAATAGGTTTAATTTTTTTGTTTTTATTTTGTTAAGAGAAATCATTTTATTATGAGTTGTTTTGGTGGACTGTCAGAGGTTAAGCTAGCGGATGCCGTCATTCAAGCAGTCATCGACCAGGTAGGTCACTAGCCTGCTTCAGATTTCAACGAGTTCCATTTTTGTTGTCTTTGTCTTAAGTTGCTTCACGTTCTTTATATTTGTATTTGCTGTCACTATTAAAATATAAATAATAATAATAATAATAAACGAACGATGGGTTAAAAAATCGCAGATAGATTAGATAGCTAAAGTCAAATGTGCTTAAGTATAAAAATAAGTTTAATCAATTAAAATTTTTCAATTACGAATCCAAGCAATTCGTTTCGTGTTTAGTACATGTTAAGTATGTATTGTACAATATCTCATTACGAATCACGAAGACCGAGTATATGTGGATTGGTTGAGGTTCAATCAGTTAAAAGAATAAAATAATCAAATAAAATTATTAGATATCAATAAATCAATCTTCGATTTGCGTCCAGAGACCCGGTTTCCCGAGGTAGGACGTTGTTTTCTTTGCCATCAACTTTTTTCGCCAAATTAGACGATTAGTTTTATCCATTTCATTTAAATTTAGAGCTTTCATGTCTTGCGCGATTGTTTGCGACTAGGACTTCTTTGGACGGCCTTTGGGACGTGTGCCAGGTACTTCAACATCTGCAAGAGAAGTTATGGCACTGTTTCCACTTCGTTTGACATGACCAAACCACCGCAGACGGTGTTGCCGGCATTCGTCCTTTATATCATCTAAACCAGCACGACGCAGGATTTCGGTAGATTTGATGTGGTCCTTCAGACTAATTCGTTGCATCCATCGGAGCATTTTCATGTCGGTTCGTTGAAGTTGTTGTTCCAGTTTGGTTGTCATTGGCCATGTTTCTGCACCATATAACAACACCGGACATATTACAGATTTATAAAGTCTTGATAGTAGTGGTAGTGGGATGTCACGCCGCATCAATATAGAGGCAAGGAGATGCCATTTATTCCAGGCTGCACGTATGCGTGCTCGAACGGCAGCTTTAGCTGTTCCTGTACAATCCAGAACATCCCCTAGATATTGAAACGATGTGACTTTCTCTATTTTAATCGCTTCAAAAACAGTGCTATTTCAAATTTGTTGTTGTGGATTGATGCAAGCAGGACAAACAAAATTGGACACTTTAGATAAAGTACCAATTATTTTTGAACAACGTTTGTGACACCACTGGTTACACTGCTGACACTTGATTGAATTGTTACCTACACCAGCTTTACAAACTGAACAGGGCCATTGTCCAGTAGCTGTGGATTGGATGGGTTCACCAGTGTTCATTGCTTTGGTTTTGCTGATGTTGACTTTGAATCCATGATCGCGAGTCTGGTGTTCCAATCTTCAAACATATCATCAGCATATATTAGATTCCAAATGTCACCAGTGCGTATCGGTTTTGTGATTTCTTCCATCACAGTTATAAATAACAGTGGACTGAGAATCGAGTCTTGGTGAACTCCAACGCCGATGTCAAATGTATCTGTGTTTCCAACCGTTGTGCTGACGAAAGTCTTAGTATTCGTATACATTTCCATCACAAGTCGAACAAGATATTCTGGAATGAGTTGTCGACGCAGACTCCACCTGATTGCTTCATGGGGAACTCGATCAAATGCTTTTTTAAGGTTTACAAAAATGTGTGATAGTTGTTGATGCTTTGCGAGGTACTTCTCTTGCAGTTGCCGAAGGATGTGAATTGCATCAATTGTTGATTTCCCCGCTAGAAAACCAAATTGATAATTTCCGATTGTGATGCACGACGTTAATCTTCTCTCAATGATTTTTTCGACAATTTTCAGGGAGTGTTCTACAGACGTATACCCCGATATGATGAACAGTTCAATGGATCACCTTTGCCTTTGTATAGCTGGACTGTCATGCTATAGTTCCATTCAGTCGGCATTGAGCAATTTCTCCAGATTTCACGGCAAAGTTGTAGTAACGTTTGGATACCTGCAGTACCAGATGCTTTGATAATGTCATTTGTGAGTCCAGAGGGCCCTGCTGCTTTTCCATCCTTCGTAGCTTTCAGAGCTTCTGTAAGCTCCTCTACAGTGATGTCTGGAATCGGACCTTCGATGGGTGGAGCGTCAAAGTTAACATTGATGGGATTTGTTTCGTTTAACAGACGGTTGAAGTATTCTCTCCACTGTAGCTTGATCTCATCTTGTTCAAGAACCATCGCATTTTTGTCATTTTTAATACATGAGGCACCAACTATTTCTTTTTTCGTACGCTTTGCTTGTTTTGCTATACGATACAGAGATTTCATTTGTTCACCTTTGCTTTTAGTGAGCCACTCTTTGCACTGCTCTGTCCGAGCCAGTGCAACTTGTCGTCTTGCATAGTTGTTCTTCTCACGGAAAATTTTATGGTCATCAACAGACTTTGATTTTTGCCATTGCTTGTATGCAATTTTTTTTTTAGCTATTGCATTTTGTTTACTGTCATTCCACCACCAAGTGTCCCGTTCATGCTGACGTTTGTACCAGTTTTCCCACAAACTGCAGTTGCAGCGTTCATCAAAACGGTTTTGTATGTACTCCAATCTGTACTGGCTTGCGATTGGTGGTCTAACTGTGTGGCGACAATCTGTTGAAATTTTTCTCGATGAACATTGCTTTTCAGCTTCCACGTTTTGATTCTCCGAGGCATTTGTTTAGACTTATGTTTTGACAGTTTGACAACCAAGTCTGCCACAAGGAGTCTATGTTGGGCGACACATGATTCGCCAGGTATAACTTTGACGTTTTTGAATAGTCTTCGGTGTTGTTGCTTGATAAAGAAGAAATCAATTTGCGTGGCTGATGGTCCACTTTTGTATGTTATGAGATGTTCCAACCTCTTTCTAAAATATGTATTCAGTAAACAAAACCCGTGACTTTCAGCAAACTCAAGGATGCGGTTGCCATCTTCATTCCGTTTTCCATAGCCAAAACCGCCATGTACGTTGTCAAAACCATCTGTTTTCTCTCCAACGTGGCCATTGAGATCGCCTCCAATCAGGATTGTTTCAGATTTTGGTATTGTTGAGATGGTGTCAGAGAATGCAGTCCAGAAGTCATTTTTCATTTCTTCTGATTCGCCTGTGGTGCGTATGCAGAAAAAATAATCATTGTTTGCTTTTCTATGCGAAGCTTGATCCACATGAGACGTGAATTAATCCTTTTAATATCCAGTACTTCTTGGGCTAGCGGTTCTCTGACAAAAATTTCAACACCATTTTTGGCCGTCTTTTGACCATTCCAGAATAGTTTATATTTTTCTTTGTCTGAGTTGACATGACAGACACCATTCGATTTCCATCGGGTTTCCTGAAGGCAGCAGATGTCAATTCTTCTACGCTCGAGCATTTCTGCGATTTCCATGCTGCGGCCAGTCAGTGATCCAACATTGAGCGTTCCAAGTCTAAGTACCATAGAGGGGCCATTCTGAATTTTTCTGCAACATCCCTTCGCTATTGCATACTTCCCAGGGATTCTTGGCACCCCTTGACCACTTAAGGCCACTTTATGTCATACCCAGGACTATTATTAACTAATTATTTTTTTGATCTAATTATTTATTATTAGATAAATAAATTAAATTTAAATAATGCCTATTTTTGTTTGAAAAACTTAAGACAAAAAACGAAACAGTGTACAGCAATATTGAACGTAAACTTTAAACGTGAACCGCCAAGGAGTTGTTTTATAATTATTTATTATTAACTAATTATTTTTTTTGATCGTATATGCGTAGAGGAGTGTTGCTGATTTTTAAATTCAAGTTAAGCGACTGAGTAAAATTCATTTACTTGATCTTCACATTCAGATGAGATGCAAGGTGGAGGATAAAATCAACGAAAAATTCAAAGATTACAGAGCTGTTATATTCAGGACACAAGTTGTTGCCGGGCTGAATTATTTCGTTAAAGTGAGTTGAATGTTCTGATCCATTCTTGCTGTAACGTCTTATAACATTCATTACTTCAAAATGCCAATCAGTTTGTAAATGAGACTTCAATTTGCAGAATTTGTAACGTTGTTCATTCCAATAGTTCACTCATCAAGTATTAGATGAACAGAGAATGTTTAAACATTTATGAAGCGGAATCAATATGCTAACATGTTTATATAAAATAAATATATATAACTAAGATTTATTTGAAGTTTTTTTATAAATTACAAAACATTATATAAAACGTATTCGTCATTATTTTCTATCAAATTAAATTTGACCCAACCAACACAACCAACACACTGAACAAGGTGCACACAGAGGACAAGAAATACTTGCATTTGAGACTATTTTCTCCCCTGCCATGCAATGGAATGGACGTTGAACTGCATGGTGTCGAATATCCCAAGAGCGAAACAGATGAACTTAAATATTTTGATTGCAACTGATTCTCGTTTGAAAAATTGCTTTCATCATCTGCACAGGTGCTCCTGCTCATATTTGTCTTTGTAATTGCGATTTACAGGATGAGATTTTTTTGTTCATTAACAAAGATCTTTATTCTGTGTTAAAAAATGTTTAAAAATCTTTTTTCGTTTTCTTGACTACCCAAAAAGTTGAAACATATACAAATTTAAATAAAAATTATCTAATGGAAAGTGTAAGTAATACAGTGCTTGTGGATGACATTGCTAATAATTTTCTTAAAGAATCACAACAAACCACGACATTCATTGAATGTATGAATGAATGAATGAAAGAATGAATGCATGAGTGAGTGAGTGAGTGAGGGAGTGAGGGAGTGAGTGAGTGAAGGAGTGGTGAATCAATGAAATATCACAGAAACTCGACACAAGAATGCTGTAGCCTGCCTGTTTGCACATTGCCCGGAAAAAATATTGAAAACTTTTTCCTAATTATACTTATTTAAAACTTAAAAAAAACTTATTTACTTGGATAAATGTATTAAATATATTAAAAATATTTCCTGTATGTAACGTAGATTTTGAATATTTTCCATTTAAACTCGTGAAAGTTTGCAGTGATGTTTGATTGTTTGTTTGTTTGCTAGTTCGTTCGTTTGTTTGTTTATACGGTTAGAAAACAAGAACGATCTCATTCAAAATGTAAACATCATGAGTTAAACTAATATTTATTTTCAATGAACAAACAGCCGTAACAATCACAAAAACAAAATAACATCTAACCAAAACATAATTAAAGATAAAACTTTTTTAACTTTCCCTATTTCTGGTTTATTTTAGCACGCTGATTTCAAATATGTAATCCGTTTACTTGTATCACACCAGTGGCTCGTGCAAAACATATTTTGACCAGGTTCCATGATGAAATACTTAATGGGCCCAGCCTTATTTTAATAATGCAAGCATCACTACCAACTATTGATCGACTTTTCAATTCTCAGAGAAACAGCAGAACTCTGTGCTACCGACTTGTCGACTCAGGAGGTTTACAGCAAATTTCTTGTCTCCACAAACTCTCTACCTGTAATCATAATATTTTTTTCACTAAAGCATTACTGATGTTGTCATAAGTTTTACTGACTGTGTGTAATAGGTCATTGGAATTGATGGCTATCAATTTTTATATTTTAAACTCGTTATTTATGCATCGACGCCAGTTCTTAACAACACACCCACCCCACACACACACATACACACACACACCATACACACACATACACACATGTACACAAAACGCACACACACTACACACACACCATACACACATGTACACAAAACACACACACACATGCACACTTTATATTCAGTAAAATAAGTTTGAATTTTTTCTCAACTTACGCAACATCAATAGACTAAATAGACTCAACGACTAATGTCAAAATCTTCTAAGCCTATAAAACGTACGTAGAGGAAAATACACTTAGGGGAGAGTGGGGCAAGACTGGCCCCGTAAGAGAATTTAACAATAACTTTGTTACTATACTCTATAATAAAATACTAATGTTATGATATTGTAAAAAACATGTCTACTTTTAGCCAAATTTGCCTCAACATATTAATTTTAAGTATCAGATGATGAGTTTGCCAAAAAACATACATCATTAAATGGCCATTCTTGCCCCTTATGTGGGGCAAGAAGAGCCAGAAGTAACTTAGTTAATATAGAAGTGAATAAAGCTAACTGGAAACAAATCAAACTTTATGGTTGAAAAATCTATTAACCAAGCTATAAAAACACATGCAATACAAATAATAGTCACGTAATATAATAATTGTTTAACGTATTGACTCAATCAAACAGCTCAATCAGCACAGTTTTCTCATGTTACAGCGTAGACTTGCATTTCTAATCAGCGACAAAAGTCACAAACAAACACTGAACAGTTTTTCTCTGCATCCGTTCGTACCCTGCTCGTGTGACCAGTTCATGCAGCTACAACATTGCATCCACACCTCTGCTAATACACCAAGCACGCCAACACAACCAGCACATGACACTGCAGTGTCTGATGCTGGTGTCAACGCTTGTCTGGATTCAGCCTCATTCTGTATACTTAGTCATTATGAAATATTTTACTTTAGGTCGAATTGTCACTGAGTTCATTCATCATCATCGATCCAGCGATCAATTGAAAGTTGATGTCGTCTATTGTTAGGAGGTCTTTTAAAACGCGTTTAGTTTTGTTGAATAACGTGCTCATAAATTGTTCAAATATATCTTGATGTTCTCCATTTTTTATCTCTAACAGCATGTCACCTGTCTTCATACACTGATTACTTGCCTGCTGGTAACTGTCCAAGACACATCAGGTCCATCGCTGTAGATCATCAATTTGGGAGGACCGTAATAACTTTCCACTGTTTTGTTTTGTTTTGATTCCATTAAATAAATAAAATGGAATCAAACCAAACAGAGCCAGACGTAACGAGAGCGTTTAAAAAATACAACTATAGGACAAAATATTTTTTTATCATTCAACAATTAGTTGATGAAGATGTATCGAGGTGAAGATAATTTGCCGTTCGTTTTTTCGACCAAACGTCGCTTGAAACTTCAAAATTTGTTTTTTCGAAGATACAAAATTGAAGACGATAAAATGGACACATTAAAGTTAATAGGTTGATATTATGGAAATTATGATTTAAATACTGAATCGTCGTGCGAATGAAATACACTGGAGGAAATATTTTCATCTCAATTTTCAGCTCCAGCTGCCAAACAATAATGGTAATAACTGGAAATAGAATATGATTACATTGCAAAATTTTATTGTTTTTCTAAAAAGTTTATTTATAGATGAGTCACTCTATCCTTCTGTCTCAAACATGAGTCATGGCTCCATTGGTGGGTGCGCAGTAATCTTCAATCAAATAATGGGATTGGTTTGATTTTATTGTTTTAACAAACTTGCTAGCTACAAAATTAATAATGGCATGAACCAAAAAATAACCAATAAAAGATCATTTGGTAATTAATTTATTAACCAAATTGTCAACATTGAATAATTGAATGAAATACTCTGACAGCAGAATTAGCTTCAATCCGGTTTTGTTACTTCGCTACCTTTGACCAAAACATCATTTCGGTCATGTGTACGTAAGCTGCTTGTGTGTTATGTTATGCCTCTGAAAAATTAGTTAAGAGATATCTAATCAAAACAATAACAGAAACACTCTTCTATTGTTGCGATAAAAAAATGAACTGAAAGATATTTAAAACGAATGAAGCCACAATACAGCATAATTAAAACTTAAATATAAAATTTACGATCCTGAAACACTTATGCTGAGGACAAGGGCCTGGGAGCAAAGAGAACATATTTAAAATTAGAATACGTTCGTTGCTTCAATGCTTCTTCCACAGTAGGATACGCCATAAGGCAAACGTTTTGCTGAATTTTTAAGTTTTTCGTGAAATGAAAATGGCCTAGTAATATTAAGCAAGGAGAATTTGAAAGTGTTATAAAGCCAGAGTGTCGAAATTTTGAAAGAGTTTATAATAACAGGGCAATTAATTTTATAATATTATTATTAATAATAATTAAATGACGAAGATAATAATCGAACTAAGAAAAATTAATATTTGATAAGAACTAAATAATTAAAAATTAATTAGCCAGGAAAATTGAGCTGTTAGTCTGAAAACAACTTTACTTGCTGTGAACTAATTCTTTTGTGATTTACATATTATTTTCTCAATTATTCATATAATTTGAATATGTTTATGAGCAATTATTTTACACAATTTAAATATTATAACACAGTATAACATTTAACTACTTCAAAGCTTACGTGGACTGACTAATTTGTTTAAACAATGTGTATGATTGACATTCATGTCATTTTTGGCTTTTGTTGATATTTTTCTGTTAATTTAAATTATTTGATGTGTCTTTGATACTGTATTTGTTGTTTATTATCCAAATGTTGTAGTTTGGAAACACAATAACAGTTGCTGAAAGGATGTAAATGTGGAAATATATTCTGTAATTAAATGTGAAGAACTGTAACATCCTTCCACATCTTCCCATTAATGTGTGACTGCCCTCAACACTTACACTATTCCAATGCAGTTGTAACAATTTTAGTTTTTAACTATAAACCGATATTGGGGTAAGAGCTGATGATGATGATGGTGAGCAAGATTGCTTAATCATAACATGCACACATCCTGCCTAAATATAATTCTATTATTCAAATCAATACATCTCTATGAAATGCATTTGTGGAGCGAGCAGTGGAAGGAACATGTTAGTCGCATGGTGAATTCCCGCCAATGTGAACAAACGCCAGTAACAGCACGTCAATCAATTTGATAGATAGTCGTCGTCGTTGTTTCCATGTTGTGTATCGTCTGGATCTGTGCAGATGAATGAGTTCATGTGCATGTGGTGTGTGTTCGTTGTTTATTTCTTTGTATTTGTAAGTATTTGTTTATATACGTTGTATATTTTTTACATTTTTGTGTCTCCATTGTCAACATGTTTATTCAATTTCCAGGTGTTTCGAAAGTCAAAATTTGTATTATTTGAAAATAAATCACGCCAAACAAATGATATTAAAGCAATCGTCTACAAAACCAGTAACTATTTATTAAATTTCATTTTATAGTATTTTATTTTATTTAACTTAATTTTAATCATTTAACTCATGTTTAAAATTTGGTTTCATTTGATATTACTATTTATATTCATTTTAAATTTTCATTTTATCATTAATATATTAGATTACCATTTATATTTATTTTATCACTTAATTTTACTTCTACTAAATGCAACTAATAATTTTCATACTCATAATTTTATTTCCATCATTTCACACCCTGCGTTCCACAGAGTTTGATTTACAGAATGACAAAAAAACTGCGGGCAAGTGCAGATGCATTACGTTTGGTCGATACAATTGACCGTACAATAAATAGCCTGTCTGTTTTATGTGGAACTGTCGTGAATGCATGCATATTTGCTAACAAGATACACTTTTGATGTTGATGCATGTTTGCTTTGCATTATACTCGGTTCCCTTTTAAAAAGTTGAAATAAGGACGATAGAAACGTGCTTAGTTTCTTTTGGAAAGTTTAATACAGCGGACCAATCGTCTCGGTAATTAAAGTCGATGGAATCCTTCCAATTGGCATGGACAAAAAATGATTCACGTCATCAAATCTGAGCTGCTGAAGTTTGGCGAGGGGAGTTCTGTGAAAGGAGTTGCGAAGATTTTCAAATCGAAGGATGTCATTCCGAGGCTGCTTTGGCTTTTTTTCTTTTTATCGTCTTCGGTGTTCATGATCTATCTGCTACACAAGCTCTTTATTGAGTTTTACACGTACCCAATTATAACAAAGTATGGAGAGCAGGTTCATAGTAATTGTTAAAAAATTTTTGAGAAAATTTATTATAACAATATTGTTACGATAGTCGTTATATCAAGTACATGTTCTATAAATGGTGTAAATATGAACCATCTTTATTATGTAAATTTTATTGAAATAAAAAAGTTTGTCCAGTTTTTGCCAAATTTTGTTTAAACTTGACTAGTGCATTTTGTACTATCCAACAATTTTTTGACAGATCGGTCACAACGTAACCTTTCCAGACGTCACTTTGTGCAATTTGGATCCTTTGGCAGAAGGTGAACCAAAAGTATCTTCTCTGAAAGAATATTTATCATTCATCAAATATGAAAAGAAAAAATTTTTAGAAAAGATTTTAAAAAGCAATTCTTCAAACACGGAAGCAAGAATGAAGGAGGTTAAAGATGCATTGGAAGGATTCGATTCGTTTTCGGGATACATAATTAATATGAATAAAGATTTACATAAATCTCGAGACTGTCCCGATTTTGTGGTTGACTGTGCTTTTTTTAGTGACGAATGGTTCAAGACGAAAGAAACTTGTTCTATCAGTAATTTCACTCGACGTTGGAGCGCGAATTATTATGTTTGTTACACCTTGGAAATCAAAAACTTAAAATTTGTTAACTCGACAGTCATAAGAGGATTGAATGTAATACTGAATGTGGGTCCACCCAACCTTATAAAGTTACCCTATGTATCTTCACTGACAAATGTTCAGGGCAGAGGCATTCAAGTGAGTGTGCAAAGTCCTGGCACCCCTCCCGACATCAAGCGTGGAATCAATTTTGCTGTCGGAACTCAAAATTATCTGGAAATCATTCAAACGGAGAGATTGCGCACCGACAAACCACACAACAGGTAAATTTTAAATGAAATTTGGTGTTTCATTTCTCATATATCTCCACATTTTGTTCTTTTGCACTGGCTACCTATAAAATATAGAATAATTTTTAAAATTTGCACATTTATGTATAAGTCTCAATCTAAATTATTTCCTAAGTACTTATCAGATATATTAATTGAACCTAAACGCCCCGGTTTACGATCGTTTTCTTGTTCTCGCTTCTCCTTAACTCGTGTTAAACACTCTTTTGCTATATCTGTTTTTGCTTTTTCTGGCCTTTTTCTATGGAACTCTCTACCTACTTCTCTGGCTACTTCTCCATCACTTACGAAGTTCATAGCGGATCTCAAGACCTATCTTTTTGCAAAATTTATTGAGGAGCGCTGTTGAACATCGCGGAAATAGCGCTTTACAAGTTAATTAATTGATTGGTTGGTTGACTGATTGGATTGATTGATTAATTGATTGATTGATTGATCGATCCATCGATCGATTGATTGATTGTTCGTTATATTTTATTATGTTTTCTACCTTAGTTTGGGTTGTACCAAAGAAAACACGATGCTAAATTATTCTTCAGTGAAATACATACAGGATTTGTGTACTGAATACTGTCAACAAGATGTGATAAAAGAGAATTGTGGCTGTATGACTAACTTACTGAACGTGCCAGAGAGAGATGCGTATGAAATTAATCTGTGTGGAAATTTTACCAACAAATCAACGTTTGAAGATTTTTACAAAGAAATAACTTGTCCGAAAAAAATATTTGAAAGTAACAATTTGCAACAATTTCACTAATTTTATACTCTTGATAATATTTGTTGCAAACTTACAATGAACATTACAATGAATCTTGCAAAGAACGTTACAATGAACAACATTACAATGAATGTTACAATGAAAGTTACAATGGTCATTACAATGAACATTACAGTGAACATTACAATGATCATTACAATGAACATTACAGTGATCATTACAATGATCATTACTACAATGAACATTACAACAAACATTACAACAAACATTGTCACAATGAAAATTACAATAAACATTACGATGAACATTACAAAGAACGTCACAATGAACATTACAATAAACATTACAATAAACGTCACAATGAACATTACAATAAACATCACGATAAACATTACAATGAAAGTCACAATGAACATTACAATGAACATTACTATAAACGTTACAATGAACATTGCAATAAACATGAACGATGAACGTTACAGACCGAATGGTAAACCACTGCCAAAGCCAGTGTCCGATGCCCTGCGAGGAAACGATGTACGAGATAAAGTATTTATCTTCAACATGGCCTCAACTTTCTGTGCAGTTTGATTTGTTTGAGAATTATTTCATAGACCGAGGCTGTATGGATGTACCTGAAGTAAGATCCAGATACATCAACTACTTGAACAACTACGAGTTATTCCTCAACGACAGCACCTACAACGTTTCATTTTCCAATTTGACAAAAATGCAGAAGTCTCTAATCGAAATGAAATTTTACATCCCACAAAAGTTTCCATACTTCCAGACGGATAGTCCTGCGTATACAGGCGACATGATGATCGGAACTGTTGGGGGGATGTTGTCCCTCTGGCTGGGCATAACAGTTGCAAATGGGGTAGAGATTGTGGAGTTGGTGTACGTGATATTCAAACGTTGTTGGAACATCAAGATGGTGAGCACAAAGAAAAACGACGAGAATGTTAATTCGAAAGATTCAAGGGCCGATCCTGAAGGAAAGAGTGGCACGGATTTGTCTGAATAGACATCGGCAAAGTTTTGAATCATCTTCGTAGTTGTGTTTTTAAATTTGTTAAAATATGTATTTATTTTAATGAATTTCAACTAAATAATTTTGTCTATTTTTTCTAAATATTGAATTTTTAATATTCTTAATTAGTGGAGTGCTCTCATTAATTTTCAAAAAATTACTTTAACCTAAAATATTATGCAATTACGTAAAAACTTATTTGTGCGATTTAATAAGGAATGTTTGTTTGTTGAAAGTAACTGATGCCAGCCAAAGCACACCCACAGCAATTATAAATAAATTTGATAACATAGCAATCCAGAGAGCAGCTACATATATTCCTACAATTCAATTATTCAAATCTACAACGTTAGTTAGCAAGTTAGAAGCACAATTAATTCAGCATTTATTTGATTGTGTGTTTCATATTTGAACCAAACAATTATATGGATGATGTATGTAATCCGTGTCAATAAAAAAATTTGATGAGCAATAAAGAAATAACAACTGTGAAATTTAATGTAATTCATCAATCAAACGACTAACCTTAAAATGTATGTTACACTTTGTCATTATTTATCAAACATTTTTTCTAATCATTAAACAGCAGCAATTAAAGTTTCGTGCCTCAAAGACCGTGCACTTCCCACACAAACCCGACGCACGTACACATTATGTACGTACCCGCAAGCACCGCATCATACGCATAGGATGGTCTCTGAGTTTCTGACAGACAGTATTCGAACCAGGCCATCGCGTAATAACAGCTCGAGACATGACACTTTTACCGACTGAGCTAACTCGCTGATCAAATGATAAACCTGAACATGATAAACTTTGCAGATTAATTTTTTAAAATGCTAAATTTTGTATGGGAAGAAAAATTTTTTTTTAATTTCTTGCTAGAGCTTATGCAAAACATGCAAAAATTTGAGTGCGAGATTTGTGAAAAAATATTATGAAAATAAATGCAATAGTTTTAATTGATACAGCGTTTTTAAACGTAATTGCTACAGTGGTTAAATTCGAGTTTTGCTGTTTAAAACGAACATTTTAATCATTTGTATAAAAAACTTTCGATGTTTACAGATGTTTTTATTTTATTTCGTAACAATAGAAGAACAAAAATGTATGTGAATATTTTGAGTGTAAGTAAGAGAGTGGGCAAAACAAATGGAAACCATGCTACATAAAATCGATCGAGCTGACTTGAATTGAAAAACTGCTTACGGGTTTGTGTGCATATTATTGTTTATTCTTCTGCTCCCACTGTTGCGTGTTTTCATGTTTGTGCTAAAAAATGTTTGTGTTTGTTCAAAAATTGAAAGTTTTGTTAACTTGTTTAAATAAGGGTTGCCAGACAACAAAGGCAAATATAAACAAAGAATTCATATTTACGTCAAAAGTGTAGATTAATTTTGTAAGTCCTTGTCAAAATTGAACCGTGAGCAGTAATTAAATTGACTATAATTAACTGAGATGGTAGAAAACAACGAGAAGGAAGATGAAAATATTTTCGAGAAACTAAAATTAGAGATCATGAAATATGGAGAGAACACTTCCATTCGAGGGCTATCAAAATTTTTCAAATCGAAAGATGTTTTATTAAAAATTCTCTGGCTTTTGTTGCTGTTGGGATCGACCGTTTACATGACTTGCAAGTTGTGCAGCATGTTGTCGGATTATTATATGTATCCTGTGACGACGGAGTATGGAGAAAAAGTGTGTGCTGATGTTCTATTGCTTAACTTATCCAATATTTTACAAACTTTCAAAAATTATTAGCGGCAATAAACTATTTTGACGTGGTTGCTCGGTGAACTTGTTACGTTTGGCTACATCAGTTTAAAGTGAAAAAATGTTTTGTTTGTTCAACTGCATCGACCTCAAGTAATTTGAAAGATGAAATATGTTCATGCTTTCAGAACATCGAATGAAAAATTATGACTATTTTTTAACTATTGAGTTGTTATATTTTGATAATTTTTTTACAGATTGGCCAGAACATTATTTTCCCGGACATCACGATATGCAACTTGGACCCCTTCGATGTGGACGAACCCAAGAACGCGCCTTTGAACAAATATTTGTATAAGTTGAACGTTATTAAAAAAGAGATGATCCAACAAATAAAGAACGGCTCACTAACACTGGACACAAACAAAACGTCGGTTAAGGAGGTATATGATGTCTTCAATGAAATTGCATCGCAATCAGGTTTCATAATAAACTTGCGCAAGGATTGGTTAAAATCTGATGACTGTCCGAAATTTATCGTCGATTGTAGTTTTTTCGGTAAAAACTGGTTCAAAATTGAAGAAACATGTTCGATTAATAATTTCACAAAACATTGGAATGCCAATTATTTTTCATGCTACACGTTGAAAACTAGTACATTGAAAGTGTCCAACGTGACAGTTATTAGAGGACTGAGCATTCTCTTGAATGTTGGTCCACCCAATTTCTTTCATGTGCACTACAAATCTTCACTCACTAACTCCCAATCGAGAGGAGTGCAGGTGAGTGTGCACAGACCAGGCTCGCCTCCTGATCTCAAGCGAGGATTCAGCGTGGCTCCTGGAACTGAAACCATTGCTCATATTGTTCAAACTGAAAGAACGCGTCTGAAAACACCTTACAACAAGTTTGTAAAAACGTACACAATTCGTGTACTCATCGTTTTGTTTATAAATCTTTAAAAGCAAATTAAAATGTTTAGGTTAAGTTGCACGGAAGGAAAGACATTTTACGATTTTCCAACTGTTAAGTACACTCAAGAATTGTGCACAGAGTATTGCCAACAAGAAGCCATCAAAAAGCATTGCAGTTGCATGACGCATTTGCTGAACGTGCCCGACAATTATACAGAGAAGATATCTTTGTGTGGGAACACAAGTTTAAACACGAAATTAAATGAATCAATCTTTCCCAGTTTGGTCACAGAATCAATTTGGCAAATACATTGCTCTCTCAATTTTGTTAAATACGATAACAACTGTAAGAATTTATTATTTAAATAAATTTATTCGTATGCAATTTGTTTTATGATAGTTGTTTCAGATGAAGAGTTGGATAGATGTGTAACGAACTGCTTGATGCCTTGCAACGAAACAGTGTACGAATCAACATTCACGTCAGCATCCTGGCCTCAAATTTTGGTGCAACTAGATTTATTTGAAAAATTCTTCGTTGAAAGAAATTGTGTAGACAGTAACACCCCTGTGAAACAGAGATACATCGATTATTGGAGTCATTACATAAGAAATGACGACAGCCTTGATAGCGTTCCAACAAATTTTACTAAAATGAAAGAATCTTTACTCGAGATTAAATTTGTGATGAAACAAAATTTTCCATATTTCCAATCTGACAGCCCAGCGTACACGGATGACATGATGATCGGATCGGTGGGAGGAATGTTGTCCCTCTGGTTGGGAATCACAGTGGCAAGTGGAGTGGAGGTCATAGAGCTGATCTACTTGCTGTTCAGGCGCTGCTGGGAGAGTAGAAAGTCCAACAATGCAAGGACAGAAGAGAACGATGCTTATGTGGAAGGCGCAAGTAAAACAGAAGAAAACAAAGAGGGAAGCTTGTTCTCAAGCTATATTTCAACAAAGTTATAAACGATCAATTCTCCTTCTTAGCTCCACTGTAGATTGATGTCGATAACCTATCTAGTTTTAGATTTTGAAACGCTTTACATTATAGTCTGTTCAACATTAAACTTTTAAATATTATTCCAATTAAAAAACATATTGAATTATTCTTGATCAAATGGAATATTTGTCAATATTGAGCAAGGGCTGCTAGGCCATGATACTAACACTTAAGTTGAAACTAATGAAACTACATTCTGATTTTACTCAGTCAATGGCCACTTGTCAAAGAATATAAATGTGACTTGAGAAAATTTTCTAAAAAATTTCGTGATACGTTTTTTAATGCAAATTTTGTGGAATTTATAGAAGTTGTAAGTGATTAGTTGAAACTCATATTGTAGCTATTAGCTCAGTAGTTAGTTAATTATAGTTAGTTATGAACATTTTAAACATTTATCTTTATTGCTAATAAAGATTTTTTACTAAATTTAGACAGAAGTTTTCCAAAAAGTTATTTAGTTCAATGCAGCGCATTATTTCAATTTATTATTATGTGTCTCTAACTTGACTGCACGTGCCACCATTCACATTTGGGAGAATATTTTTCATCAGATGTTCTTTTTTGGTAGCGGCAGACATTTCCTCACGCCTCTCGGGTTAACAGCAAAAATATAACATTTATCCCCTTCAGAACAGGTTTCCTTATTTTGCAAGACAAATTTATTCAAATTATAAATTTTTTTGAACAATGTAGAGAATTTATATCAATAATAATAGAATCAAGCGTAAATAATTATGTTTGTATTTTTATTTCTGTTGAGAACTTATTGATCATTGATGACAAATAGAAAAGAAACACATTTAAGTATGTCTATCTAAGCCTGGCTGACGAACAATAAAAAACAACCAAAGATTTCAATTGAATACATGGTTTTTATAATGTTATAACCGACCCCTTGAACTTGTAGGGTATGGTTATTTCTCTTTACGTGGATTCTTGATTCCTAAACAGACTTATTTTAGATGACTTTATTAGAAAGAAAACAGAGCTGGCAATTGCCGTAATCGATCACTCGTTCGTTCGATCGTTAAAATCGTTAGAATGCAAAACAATAACTAATCAACAGTTAAATCACAGGATAAAACTAATCGTCAATAATTAAGCTCTTCTCGTCAGATGTTTCTTGACCGTAAATCCTAAGTATCCACTTCTCGGAAGATTATCGTAATTCACTCGCAGACCGCGTGTAGAATTCTTCGTGGGCGTTATCGCTAATTTGTTTACAAAATATCACAAAATATCTCTGCGATAATAAGACTGCTTGAAACTTCTTCTGACTTCGATTGATTGAACATAATTCACGTTTCAACGTCCTAACTCTATTGATCGCAGACAAGCTGAAATTTAAAAAAAATCATGGTTAACTTCTAATGAATTTATTTGCATTAATCTATTAGTGCTTGTTTACGCCAAATTAATATTTTTTCTTCAATTTATTTGTTAATTGTTAAATGTTAATTAGACTGAAAGTTAGAATTATTTATCAAATGAATTTCTTCTATATTTTCACTGTTCAGTTGCAAGACCTCTTCACTGCAGTAGAGGTCTTGGGAAATGAATGTGCTGTCCTTTACTTTCAGAAAAACAACTAACTGACAGCTGAGCTATACATATTTCTGAATTTTTATGGCACGTACGCTAAAATAAAACTCTTGACTGAAAAAACTATAGAATAATTTTTAAAATTTACATATTAATTCATAAGTCTCATTCTAAATTATTTCCTAACCCAAACGCCCCGGTTTTTGATTGTCTTCTTGTTTGCACTTCTTCTTAACTCGTGTTAAACACTTGCTAAATCTGCATTTGCTTTTTCTAGCCCTTTTCGTTGGAATTCTCTACCTCCGCCTCTGACTACTTCTCCATCACTTACAAAATTCAAAACGGGTCTCAAGACCCATCTATTAGCTAAGTTCACAGAAAAATACGATATATGTAACATTTTATTCCAATTTCAAAGTCATCGTAAAAATTAGTATAATAACAGATTTGCCTTTTTATTTGTGTTCACTTTGTGCGGTTACGTAGTTATATTCAGTTACGTGCAACTTAAGAAATAAAAATTACAGTCAAATAGGTATTCATAAAATGAGTGATATAAAAAATATTTGATGTCAAACGACGACAGCTATGAAGAAATGGAGATGGAGTGGTTGATGATGAAAAGATGGGTGTTCACGATGATTTTAATATTTCGTACGAAGAGCAGGATAATTTAATTTTCCATCGGAATAAGATACGTAAACTGATTCGCCATCTTTGAAAATTGCGACCGACGAAGAAACATCATCTAAAATTTTAAAAAGATAACTACCACCATCAAGATATCACTCGACAGATCAGGTTATTGTAAACAAGAAGAAAAGAAAAATAAACCAAATACAACCATAACAACGTCTGGAAATGAGCTTAGCAAAACAATTTCATCAGTAGGCCCACTTCATACTCACACAGATTCTCCGCTCTTTCTGACTAAGAGTTTGTCTGAATCAAAGAGAAAGCCATATTTTGCAAAACTCATCGAGCTACCTCCAGAGCCTCCGGGAATTTGTTTAAAACATTTACAAAATAAATTTCTCGACTTTTACACGAAATTACAAAAAGGTAAAACAAATTTGAACACAAACATAGAACGCGGAAGAAGTTTCAGAAATCCTATTATTTATGAAAAGCTGATTGAATTTTGAGGTATAGATAAAAAAGGCAATAATTATTTTCCGAACTTTATAATTCTTCAATATGGGGTCCAGAATTCTTCTATAAAGAATTGGCAAACATTCAAAAAAAAGAAATAAATAAAAAAAGAAAAAGAAGAATAGTATAGAGCATTTGATCGTTATCAAGAAAAGAAACGTTTGTTCATTATTATTAAAATTTTTATGTTATTTTTTAAATTTTGATGGTAAAGAATTTGCCTTTCTACTAAAGTGAAGACCAAATTAGATAAAATTAGAACAGAAAAGCAGCTTTGTTAATAGCGGAGTTGCGATATCGCCGCTTATTTTGTAGTGGTGCTGACACTTTCATTGAGCCGTAGCGAAATTAAAATAAAAGCGATACCTCAACTTTTGAGTCAAAGATGTTACATATTTCATACATATATAAGCATATACATTTTATTGATTATTTTTGCCCACTTAGCATTAATTAACTTTTTGAAAATACACTCAACAATATGGAATTGTTGTAAATCATATTTATTTAGAACATGTATTCAATGAAACTTTCATAGCCGAAAATCTAGTCCCAACATACACATTTGTGTATATAATATAAAAATTTTTTTAATGCACAACTGCTTGCATGCAGTTATCTTTATTGTTGACACCAGTGTGTCGTAGTCGTTTGTAATAGAGGTCTACATGGAAATTTTCCCGCAAATACCTACGGGAAAACTGCGGGTTGGGAACAGAAGTTGGAGGGAAACTCGCGGGGCGGAATGAAAAGCAAGGGAAAACCGCGGGGCGGATATTTTTCGTGCGGTAAGTACCGCGGGACGGAAAAAATTTTAGAGGGAAAACCGCTGTTGACTTGACTTTGATGGCAAAGATTAATGAGAAACTTCACAGCTTGAACAGCAACGCAATTGAAAAAGTTAGATTATTATTACTATTTTTAAAGCTAAGCAAGCTCACAGATGCATATGCATTACGCTAAATAATATTCATTGTGATAACACGAAAGGACACGTGACCAATTATATTAAGTGTTATGTACTATTTATTCTATTTGTTTTTGGGCGATAATTAATGTATCAATACAGTGTGACTTACTGTGACATACTTTTTAATTCAACCATCACCGACTCCGGCCCCTTGAAAAACTCTCGAATAAATATAGCACTTTTGCTATAGCGTCAGAAGTCTTGTAAGACAAACTTTAAATTGATTAATGTTAACAATTTGGTAGAATTCATACAAAACTGTATAAAATATAATCTCTTTTCATTTTTGTTTTAAGAGGTTTACAAATTTAAATTAGGAAAAGGAAAATTCATACACGTGCAGATGTCGTTAAGCAATGAGTTTAAACAACGTCAATAAAGTGAAAGAAGGGACATTAAAAAATGTAGCATAGTTGCAATAAAATTCAACAGAAAAATTTTTCACTTAATCATAAAACATTTCAAACCTATTATTAAATGTAATGTTTTAAAAGTAAATCAGTATAGATTTAAATTTATGTTAAAGTAAGGTAATTAAAACAAACTTTAGTGAATCTTTTTCTGAATTAATTACAAAATCAACAAAGAATGTTATTATTCACTGAATTAAGATTTAATTACTACATTCTAGCTATTTGCCACACCGGTTAAATGTAGGAAATATCCGAATCCAGCTTCGGCCTTTTAATGGTAGCATTGTAATAAAAGAACTTTTAATAAAGTAAGAAAAAATTACATTAAATAAAACACTTGATCATAACATCATTTGTGGCTGTTACGTTTAGAAAGTTAAAATGAATGTTAGAATTAGTTTCAAATAATAATTATCAAGCAACTTTATGAACAACCGTTACATTTTTTACACTAATTATACAATACAACAATGATAGTTAGTTTTAAAGCTCTTTACAATGTCCTTCATAATTTTCTGTTATTTTTGTCGTAAATAAACATCTTTGGGAATCCGAAGCTTTTTGTTGTTCAGTAGTTCTCTTAAAGTACGAGTTAATAAAATACAAAACAGTTAGTGTTACATAAAATGAGTGTTTTTAAAAAATATTTGGTGTCATACGACGACAGCGATGAAGAAAATGGAGATGGATGTGGAGCGGTTGATGATGAAAAGATGGGTGTTCACGATAATTTTAATATTTCGGACGACGAGCAGGATAATTTAATTTTCCATCAGAATAAGAAACGTAAACTCGATTCGCCATCTTTGAAAGTTTTTAAAAAGATAACCGCCACCAAGTTGGTTTCCTACGGAGAAAACGACGACATCGAAACATCGTCCGACAGGTCAAGTTTTTGTAAACAAAAAGAAGAGAAAAATAAACCAAATACAACCGTAACAACGTCTGGAAATGAGCTTAGCAAAACAATTTTACCTCATACTCATACATATTCTCCGTTCTCACCGACTGAATCAAACAGAAAGCCATATTTTGCAAAACTCATCGAGCTACCCCCCGAGCCTCCGGGAAATTGTTCAAAGCAGTTACAAAATAAAATTCTTGATCTTTACACAAAATTACAAAACGGTAAAACGAATTTGAACACAAACATACAACGCCAAAAATGTTTCAGAAATCCTAGTATTTATGAAAAACTGGTTGAATTTTGTGGTATAGATGAAAAAGGAACTAATTATCTCCCCGAACTTTACAATCCATCAGTATGGGGTCCAGAATCCTTCTATAAAGAATTGGCAAACACTCAAGAAAAAGAAATAATTAAACAAGAGGAAAAGAAGAAATTGATGAAAAAGGAACAAATTATTCAATATGAGGTCCAAAATCCTTTTTTGAAAAATCGGCAAACACTCAAGAAAAAGAAATGAATAAAAAAAGAAGTTGTATAGAGCATTTGATTGTTATCAAGAAAAGTAACGTTTGCTCATTATTTTTACAATTTTAATATTGATACATATTGATAAAATATTTTTATTGCAATATATATATATATTTATATATATATATTGCAATATATATATATTTATATATATATTGGATAAAGACTGTCAGAAATGCAAGTATTTTTAATTCACAGCATGTTCCGCATTAGTTAACTTCCTGTCCAATTTTTCGATTTTTTAACGATAGATCGTAAAACATTGTTGTTCAAAACCGAAATTTTCATTTATTTTAAGTATGGTGACATTTAAGCATAATAAAACAAAAAAGCTTTTTTCGATATCCCAATACCATCTTCGTTGTTTTAATGGATACGTTTTGTATGCCACCGTTAATAAATAAAATTAATAAAACTTGATTATTTGTACTTGATTCATTATTTTTATTTTCTGAAGAAAGCATCAATAGAGTAAAATAATAGAGATAATAATAATAATAACTCTAATGATAATAACAATAATAATTTAAAAATTTATTATTATAACAAAAATTAAAATTTTTAGTGAGAAAAGCGAGTAGCAAATCTGAAATGGAAGTTGACATTTTAATTTTATTGTTATATTTCGGACGTTTGTTTGATTCAACGTGATGAAGGTTTGTTGAAATTAGTGTTGCCATCATTTTTTAATGCTTGTTTTAATGATTTATTTGTGTCGGAACATCTAAAAAAATCAGCGTTCAATTTTTTAATCATTATCAGATTGCTCTTTCAATATTTTACCGTAGGTTGCGCTAAAATCTTGACGCAGGTCAAAACTCAAAACTGACCATCCCAATTCCAGACGGTTGGTTCATTGGTTGGGCAGTTACGAAATGAGTTAAATCAAATACTCAATTTCAAAATAATTTCAATCTTAATGATGAGTTTTTGTTACCTTAACTTTTAGAGAAAACAATAATTTCAATCTTAATAATGACTTTTTATTACCTCAACTTTTGCTGTGCCGTGGTGGATAAACACATTAATGTTTGGTAAAGGATTATTTAATTAAATTATTTTTTTTTGAAAGTTTGAATTTTTGTAAATCACAATTTTATTTTCTCTTCTGTTTTTATTATAAAAAATTTCAACAAAATAAAATTATCAATAATTACAACAATATTAATTCTAATTATGTTACGTTATGCTAACAATGACAACATCGTGAATCTAGTAGCGTTGGCTTTTGACAATGTTAATGAAATGATTAAAAAAATATAAAGACGACAATGAATGATCATGACCAATCAAAAATATATTTAAAAATCAAATTACTCTCGTGTTGAGGGTGTCACTTCAGCTGAGGAAATTGCGGTACCATTGAGATTTTAATATAAAGATAACAACGTTAATAATAGCAGCTTGACTGCGTTTCACATTTACTTACGCTGCTGGTATTGGTCAAGCCAGGAATATAAATGAATTGACAAAGTTGAAGGCGTCAGGAATTAAAAATTTTTCTAGATTCAATAGCATTAAAATATTTTAGTCATGTTTTGAAATTTATCAGTTTTTTAACTTGATTAGTTTTTTGACAAAATAAATTTTACGACAAAGTATAAATGTACTGTTTATAATCAGAAGCAAAAATCAGTTATATGGTTTAAAATTTCGAGAATTAGCGAACATTCCAAAATTGACATACAAATTTACAGCAAAGGTCGATTAAAAAAAAATATCTAGATACGAAATTATCTCAAATCAAGCAGAATGTTCGAAATCTCATTTATTTGACAAAGTTGTACCACAAATCAATGTTCACAAAAATATCGTTCATAAATCGTTTTATATTAGCTCTCGATGTTGTAAACAGAATTCAATTGACAAAGTCATGCCCAAAAAATTATCAAATACAATCTTGGAGATCAAAATTGTTTGCAGGTTTTTGCTGCATCGCCTTGATCAAGATGAAGAAGAAGCCGTTCAAACATTATGTTTGAAATATCTTTCAAACGAATTTTATGAGCCCTTCTACATTGCATCGATCTCTAAGCAGTCTGAAACAGGTTTGATCGTTGCATATTCCATGTTAGTTGGAGTAGCATTGCTTCTTAATATTCTGGCATTGTTTCTTAGTTGTGTTGGAAAATATAAGACATCTCACAGTTTCATGGTTCTTTCATTAATCACCGGAGATTTTCTTCTTCTATGTTTTTGCATCCCGTTCAACATGTCCACCATAGTCACTCCGTTCTGGGAGAACAACAATTTCCGATGCAAACTGGTTTCTTACATGCAAAATGTTGCCGTGTTCGCCGTTATATTAACTCCAGTTGCAATTTCAATTGACAGGTATCTAGCCATATATTACCCAATCAGGTTTCGATCAAAAGTGAACAAAGGCAGAAATTTCATCATGTTGAGCTTGATTTGGGCAATCGCTTTAACCGCTCCACTCCCAAATTTTCAATGGTACGAAGAAGTAAAATTCAACAATCTTCACAGCAAGCAGACCAACAAAGTTGATACACTGGAAATGCTATTTACACAAAATAAACATTTAGTTTATGTTCGCAACGTTGAAACTATGTCGCCAATAATTCACTTGCCTTCAAAGCCAGTAACAACGACGGAAGCACTGACTGTCATCATGAACGAAAAATCATTGTGTCTGCATTCAAAAGAGTCTGCTAACCAAGTTTTAATTTATAAATCCTGTTTAATCGCAACGTTTTTTGTTTGTTTCTTGACGATGTGTTGCATGTACATAGCTGTAACCTACAGATTGTTCAAAAGATTAACTCAGAGTTCAGCTTTGAGTTGTGAAGTTCGTTACCAGAATCCAAGAAGAATAAACGAGAAAGAACCGCCGAGGTCAGGGACAAATGCAATCGATGAATCAGCAATCAGTGCGTTACATCAATACACTTTTGCTTTGCTACCACAGTGCATTTTGAAAACAGATTTTCCAAGTCAGCTGATTAAAGATAAAGATTTAAAAAATGGAAACCTAAAATATTTCATTAATGAAGCCGACGTCTGTGGAACGAGTTGTACGATAAACAACGCGTTTTTACCTTCATCTACAGAGGCAGAAATTAATATAACGGAGCGAGAAAACAACTCAAACCTAACTAACATTTCTATCCCAAACGTTCCTAATTCAGTGCAGACTATAAATTCAACAACTTGCAGTTTTGCCAAGTTAAATGGAAAATCACCTAAATTTTTAACGGCTAAAAAAACTGCGTTTTTATTTGCAACGATTCTTTTGTTTTTCTTCGTCACTTGGTTTCCAATAATTTTATATGAATTAATTCTTTCTACTTCAGAAAACAGTCAAAATGATTTCAATTCAACACTGAAAAGATACTCCCTACAGTACGTGGCTTGTTTAAACGCCTGCTTGAACCCATTATTCTACACAATACTTTACGGTAAAAATCAAATTCGTTTAAAAGAATTTGGAAAAAATTTACGGCGAAAAATAAAAAATTGTAACTGCAAGAAGAAAATAAAATCTAACAGAGTAGAGCCAGTCAGAATAAATGAGTCGCCAACTATTTTCAACTATGAAAACCCAAGAGCCTACCCAACCGCAATTGAACTTGAACTGTTCTATTCATAAACTTATGATCAAACTGACTACAGGGTAGAAGATCAGCATAAAAACATAAAAAATAAGTAAACATTATTTTTAAAATTTGTTATGTTGAATTGAGTAATTATTGAATTATGCATTATTCTGCCTTCGTGAAAATAATGTACATAAAATGTTTTTTATTATAAAAATGAAGCCATTCTATTTGTTTGTAATTTTAATAATAATTTAAAATAATGAGCAGTTTAATCAATTATTTTTAAAATTTTTATTTTTTATCAATCATAATTTTGTTCAATTATCAGAGAATTAAAAAATGATAATCAGATATAATGGACATACGTTAATATTTATAAAAATCGATCTCTACAGTGCATATTTAAAATTGTTTAATTAAACATTGAATCATAACATTTTTTACAATATTAAAAAATTTAATCAATAAAATTAATTTAATTTAATGAATCCTTTGGTATATTTTCGATCTTTTTTAAATTATAAGAAAACTTGTTACGATTTTGCAACTGTTAAATATAGCAACGCTGAATTTATATTAAATTAAATAATACTTTCAATTTAAATATTGCGATAGCAAAAATTCGAACCAAAAGATTTAATAAAGTTACTTTTATCAAATATAATATAATAAAAATAAAATTAACGCAAACAAAAAAAAATATAGGTAAAGTTGAACAAAGTATACCTGAAAAGTATTCGAACGAAAAAATATTTAAGATGGACGCGTTCTTGCTCTATGGTACATAGAACTTTGTGGCGAGAGTAAGTTATCGTCGGTTATGAGAATTTCTGCTGAAGTTGCTCCATAGGGCAATCTTTTATTTTCCTCCAACTCCTTATCTATGTGTACACTACCAAACAACATCCCTTCTTCTGGGCCTTCTATTTTATCGGCCATTTCCATTAATTTGCAGTAGAGTTCAAATGTGTCTTTTGTAGAGAGTCTCAAACATTTGGAACTTTTGTTTGATGTTTCTTGTGTGCCGTGTTGCTTTTTTGACAAAGCAACTGCCGTTTCATACATAGATTTTCTTTCCGGGGTCACCGTCATGTCGATCTCAATTTTTCTCGTCACCACAACTGCTGATTTTCTGAACATATCCGAAGTCCCACGGATCGGAACAAGTCTTTCGCATCGTACCTTCACTTCTATAGTCACAATCCCGTTCGATAAACTTAATTCAACTTTTTCAGAAACCGCATCAACATTCAACGCAGTTTCTACCTGTTGTTTCGTCTCTGGCGTTACGGGGCCGATGACTTGTTCTTCTTCTCTTCTGACATCCACGCTCTGTCGAATGTTGTTACCGACCTGAGTGCCATGTGTACGGTGCCTGGAGTCGTTGTAGTTGCTAGTCTCCCCGTCTGTAAAGTTTAAAATTGCAAAGTTTATTTTGTATGTTTATTTTCATAACAAATTACTTTTAACAAAAGTAAGATTTACTCATTTTATGGAAAAATCTAATAAATGCGTCATTTACCACTGACCGACTTAGGAAGGAACAAATTGAAAAATAATACATAATGATCTTCGAACCGAAACTATGACGTTTGTTTTTTATTTTCAAAAACATGTTCTGTAAGTTTTATTTAAAGACTGCGTTTTTTTAAAGAATAGATAAGAGCTTTAAAAAAATGTTCATACAAAGACGAGAAGAGTTTCACTATAGCTGTCATTAAAAGTGTGGTTGCAATGCGAATTGATCTAACTAACGGTAGTTTCATGTTCACGTTACAATCAATAAGTTTGCTCATTCTGCACAACACATTCGAACGAACGTAGACTACATTTTAAAAAAAATATAAATTTTCTATTTTCAATCTAAGAATGTTGTTTCATAAAACTTTAAATTTATAAAATCATCAATAAACCACAAAATGTGTTTTTACAAAATAAAAGCGATTTATTTTAAAGAAAAAAAATACTTAAAATAAATGTTTAAATTAACTAAATAATAATTTACCGGTGTAATTGGATGATTCGTTGTTTTTGGAAGACTTCAACTTCCAAGCACCAGATCTTTTGTTGGAATTTTCTGATTTTCTTTTCGAGTCGGTTAAGTAATCATAATACCATTCCCGATTTACAGGAATATTTCGATTGTCTATTTCATCCCAATCCTGTGCAATGGTAGGAATTTCTTGAAACGTTTCATCGTTGGCATCACTATCTTTAGACGAGATTAAATGTTTACTATTTTTCAAATAATTATCCATGTTCTCAAAATCACTTGAATAAGCCGGATTTTCTCGCCTCTGGTGATACTTTGCGTGGAAAAGATTGTTTTTTGATTTGTTTCTGTCGTTATGCAGTGCGTTCAAATAACGTCGACTTGTTTCTTTATCAAGAGAGTTTCGTATAAGAATTGAGCCTCGGACAATTTTAGGGAAAGCATTTGGGTCCATATTGTTTTGGTGCATATACTCGTCATCTGGTGTTATCGGAGTAGTTCGATTTTTCAACGAATGTTTTTCTCCAAAAAATTCGTGGGGTGGTTCATATTCTAATCTCATTGTGTTGTTTAAAGTCATGTTGTAATCATGTGCCTGAGATTTTGTTTTCCTACTTGTTGTTCCTGTCGGATAAGTACTTGGAACTGCAAATGTTTCCACCGAAGCCTCAGGTAATGGAAGGAGTTCTAATTGAAATTCAACTTTGCTTGGGTTATGGGACTGTTGAGTTGAATTTGAAGCTGTTATTGATTTGATGGCAAAATTTTCACCATTCTCAGAACCTCTGTTCACGGTTGTTAATAAATTTGTCTGCGGTGATACCTGCAAGGAAAGTAGTGAGTCAATTTGATTGTTCTTATAAGAAGGACTGTGGTAAAATGACAACGGGGGTGGCACTGGACTACTATAATTTAACGAAAGATTATTCACCGTTTGATTCAATCCATCATCAAACTCTACAAAATTTGAACTGTACATCAATCCAGAAGCTGGGCGATATTTTTCTTGATTCAAATGAGGCATTTCATGGTATGAAACATTTGTTAAACGACTTTGTCTACCACTTGTTAAGCCATGTTTTTCAGGTAATGCAGCATTTAATTTTAATTGAATTCTGTACTGGTTGCCTAACTTCCCTACCTTTTCTAATTCCGGATCTACACTTGCAGCCTCAATAGATGGGAGTGACCGTGTAACTGTATCGTATCCTTGCATTCCTTTTCCTTTTTTTGAAACTATTTTAGACGAAAATCTATTCAACGTTGTTGTTTTATATGAATCCGAAATTAATTTTTTGTTTGAATTTCCAGACGTTAAATCGTGCAATGAAATTGAATTTTTTATGTAATTAGAGTTAAATTGAAAAATTTGATTTTGATCATGCAAACTTTTGGAATAAACTCCTGGGCCGCCAACTGTTACGTGAGGTGCTGCCAACGTCCGAGATCTAATTCTATTATGTTGCGATTTTATACCATTTTTCAATAAAGTTAATTCTCCATAAACAACGCTTGGAATGTTCGTCAGACTTGACGAATTTGGTTTTTTGAGTTTGTTGACTGTTATAAAGCCTTTCACGGGGATATCGTGATTTCTTACCTCAACAGCACTTACTTTGTTTCTGTCAGCCTTTTCAATTCCGATTTTTATATTTCCCGGTGTTGTAAATTTGTTTTGCGTCGTTAAATTTGTTTCAGAACCATAATGTCTAGATGAACTCACAAAGTTATCACGATGTCTGTTTTTTATATCGTTTGAATTATAGAAACTATCGTCAGAATATTCCGAACTACTTTCGTTTGCATTTAAATAGTTGTTTACATTTATTCGTTTATTTCCGTCAAAATCCGATTCAGAATTTTTGATACGACCACGTGTTATTGTTTTGTTTTGTTCGATAGCATCTCTGCTATCGTATGGTTGGCTTCTGTTGTACGCATCTTCTATAAGCCTGGCGTTTGTAGGCTGCGTGCTGTCTGAACGAGCACCAGCTTGTAGTACAGGTGAGAGCATACCTGGATCGTTGTAAACTGTTCGATGATCAGTAGAGCGCGTTGATGCATGCTGCCTGGTAGGAGTGTTTGTATTGTACGTTGGGTATCGATTGCCTGTCGCTGTATGCGATTCGTCAATTATTTTTTTATTGCCGTTGTACATCTTGGCTTTTTGTTTTATTTTAGATTGTTTCAAAGAGGGCGTTGAAGAATTTTTAGATTTTGTATAACGACCGCTACTCAGACTCGGCTCGTCTTTTGAAAAATCGCTTGAACTTGACATGAGGTTGCTATTTATCTCTTCGTAAGTTCCTCGCGGTGAAAAGTCAACACTATCGTAATTTTGTACGTTTTTGACTTTTAAATCTGAAAAATTGATTGGCGCAAGATATTGATTATTCGTATCTGTAGTAGATGATTTGAATAAGTTAACTGTCTTTCTCTTCAGTGTTTGATTTCTTTCTTTTTCTAACTTTTTTAATTGTTCCATGTCATTACTATGAGGTCTTAAAAATATTCTGCTCGTGTCATGAGGTATGCTGTGTGGACCGTTAGGTGTCACATTGTGCCAGTCATTGTTGCTCAAGTTGTTGAAATTATTCGTTTGTATGTTCGATTCAGTTTTATGTCTTCTGTTGCCATGTACACCTCGTTGTTTGTTAACGTCAGTCATTTTGTCATCTTTGTTGAACGGTGTTAATCTATTAGAAAAAACATAATTGTCATCCAAGCCTGAATCGTTGATATTTGGAACGCTTTTTGAAAACTCTGATCGATCATTTTCACCAACTAATGATTCGTGCAATTCAAATTTTTTCAACCCATTCAAATGAGCATGTAATTTTTTCCGGGCTTCTTTCATAAAGTCATTTTCGCCTGGACTCTTCACTTCCTTGTCTAAATTTAAACTCTCAACTGATTCGTGTGGTTTCCTTGCCGTTACTTCGGCAGCTAATTTAGTGAGTTGTTCAGCTGATCTTTTGTCCTTTATATAACTGAAACCTTTTGGTTCCTTGCGAGTTTTAGCAGTCGTTTCATTGTTGGCACTTAAATCTTCTTGTTCATGAGCTGTGTGGTTTTCCGAGTTTCCTGGTATATCGATGCCTTCGACAAGAAATTTAAATATCGGTTTGTTATTCGAAACGTTTTTGTTATCATTTTTAAAATTTGCCCTGATGTTCGGTGATGATGTTGCTGATTTAGCTATTACGTTTTCAAGATGATTTATAAAACGTTTGTCTCTTATAAAATTATTCTGTGGAATGTTAACTAAAGATTTTTTATTTAAATTTGAATTATAAGTGTGGTTAAATATTGGTGGGATATTTATTTTTGACACGTGCTTAGAAACATTACCTTGATTGTCTGGCGAGTCCAATAAAACTTTGTCAATGGCGGTTGTTTTTAAAAAATCGTCTTTTTTTATTTGAAATTCATTCATATTTTCTTTTTGCACCGATATATTGGCTATTTGAGTCGTTGGAGGAATATCTGTTGATGGCTGTTTAAACTCGTTGTTAATGTTAGAATTTTTATTTATTGGATTTAAAAATTCAGATTTATTTTTTGATGCTACGTTTAGTTTTTGATCATTTGACGAAAGATCAAATTTATTAACGAAGACTGATTCTGAATTTTGCTGGTATGTTGTCGGTGATAATTTTGATTCGTAAGACCTTATAAAAGATTTCTTTTTGGAATTTGATTCAAAACTGTTGACAGTATTTGTAGAAATTTTTTTATTTTTTGAATTTTCATTTAAAATTTGAATTGACTTCCCATCACTTGATTCCTGTTTATTTTGCACGGAAGGTCGAAAATGTTCATTTTGATCAGCTGGTGAAACTTCTGTATTGTTGAAATTAGGTGGTGATTTTTTAAAAACTGTTGGCAGTCCGATATGAAAACCACCGGTCAAAACCGATTTTTCTTCTCTTATAATATTTGAATTATTAAAACTGTCATTTAATAATAAAACTGTGTTACTGAAATCTTTGTACACATTGTTCTTATTTTCTAGAATTGTTGTTGATGTTGTTGTTGTTAGTTTGGCGGAATTTTGAAATGTTGGCGACAAGGGTGATGTAGGCGTTCTTGGAAATTTTGTTAGTTCATTATTTATATTTTCATCAGAAGGCGACAAATCTTTTCTATTTAAACCATTTTCTGAAAACACTGTTGATTGAACATAGCTGTTGATCAACGGAGGCATTACTGAAGTCGTTGAAACTGCTGCTTCTGAATGAGTCGTTAATGGATTTGATGTTGTTATATTTAACGTCGGGGATTTGAGCAGAGAAGGTTTAGAAATATTGGGCAACTTTCCTTTTTCATATGCCGAAAAGTCAAATCTAGGAGCAGGTTTTGTGGTTGGCAATGAATTTTCGGTAATTGTCGTCGTACCATTTGTGACAGAATTATTCGTTGAAGATGACGTTGTTGTTTGGTAAGATGTTGACGTGGGTGGTAAAGGAGCTACATACTTTTTAGAAGTGGCCGCCCGAGAAAGAACAGGATTTATAAATGAAGTTTGATCCGTTTCGTAATTGGTAATATAAAAATTATCCGTCAATGAAGTTTTATTGTTTTCAACTGCTGATGAAAAATTATTTAGTGTTTTTGAAATTTGAGTTTCGACAACTTTGGTTGAATTTGATGATGTCACTATATTTTTTGTTACGTCTGAAACAAGTTGCAAATTGGACGTAGATTGGGTTGACGCAATGGAACATGCCACGACTGATGGCTGGGTGGTTGGATTAACGTACGAAATGACGGATTCCGATCGGAGGTAGTCAACACCATAACTCCTGGCTGGGACATCGTCGCTGATTATTCGAGTACTCAGGTGAACAACTCCATTTTCATTTTGATTGTTATTTGAAGATTTGTTTTCTGCTGTTGTTGTAGTTGTTGAATTTTGTTCCTTTGTTTTTGTGAGAGTTTTTTTGCTTTTATGTTCTAACTGAAAATTGTTTTTTATTGGCGTAATTGATGAATATTTTGTAGCCTCGGAAGAAAAAGGTTTTGGCGTTGTTAAAAAAAAAGTTGATTTTAAATTGCTGTTCGTAACCTTATCATAGTTAACCTCACCGTTGGAGATGCCTGCAGACCCACCTGTCGGTCGATGAATGCTTGTTCGTTTGTTGTCAGCGTGCCCGTTAATGCTTGTTCGTTTGTTGTCAGCGTGCCCGTTAAAGAAATTTTGTGTGGAGTTGTCGTGAGTGTTGTTGTTGCTTGTTGAGCCGTTGTATATATCCATCATGATCTCCTCGTCTCCAACCATCTCCAGCCTGTTCGGATCGTTCCACGATGATCCGATGGAGGTCATGGATGATGAGAATAATGTCGGGTAACCAGTTTTATTTTTCGAATTTGTAAATGAGTTTTCGTTTTTGTTGTTGGTGCTATTATATTTGTTGTTGTTCATGTTTGTTGTTGTTGCAGTTTTTATTTTATTGGTTTGGTACTATCGGTTTTTAGCGAAAATTCGAAATTAAACTGTTTATTGTTTGGATGATGAAAATTTTTCAAGTCATTTGATTGCACAGACCTGAAATATAAAGAAAAGTTAATTTTAATAAGTTGTTTCAAATTAGATAAAAACTAAAATAATTTCAAGCAAATTTTATGTTACAAATCAATCATCACGAAAAGCTCCACGTGTTATGTAACTGAAACTTTTAAAATCACAAAATCACTGAAATACCACCAATTGATAATTCAAACTTGATCCACTTTTATACAGATTCAATCAACAAAAAATTATATCTTCGAATATCCTGATGTTAGTAAAACTTTAAATTACATTCAAAACAATACAACAAAACAGATAAACTGAATTATAGACCAAATCTTTACAACATATTAGACACTGTTGATGAATTCATCGTGATATATAATTAAAAAATTAATCACAAAATTATTTTGTTGATACAAATATTATAATATCATCGAATGATGTAAACAACATTTTCCTCATCATCATAGAACCATCATCATCAAGTGTTGTTGCCACTGAACGCTGAAGCAAAGCATACTTTCTTTTGTTTACATCTGGCAGGTGAATATTATTGGCTAGGCTACACAAAATTATAAATTTCTATTCGCTTGTTCTTTCGTGGTGAAGTGTAGGTGTGTGTGTGTTGTGTGTGTGTGTGTTGTGTGTGTGTGGTGTGTGTGACAGATAAAAAAAATGTTCAATCTAATGCAATTAATGATAGCATTTAAAATGAACAAGTAATCTCACCATTAAAAAAGTAATCTATCAAGAAATACGTGATTTATTTTGAAGTTAGAAAACGCAGAATCGGTGTAACGAAAGAAAATGATTATTATAATAAAATAGACACTTCTTACAGCTGAAACCTCAAATCTTTTTTCCCAACTCGTTCTCACCATCAACAACATCGTTCCATGTGTTTGTGTCTCCCGACTGTTCATTGGACATTTTTATTTTTTGTTGTTTTTTTTTTGTTTTTTATGTTTTAATTATTACTCGGCCTTACCTGAAAATAAATTTTTCTCCAATTCGAATGACAATTTGTCTGCAATTAATTATATAAAAGTTACTGTGCACAGTTATTTGTATATATTGTTTTTTATTTTAAATTAAAATTTTTTATTATTATTAATTCCTTCTTACCACTGTCTTGTATTAGTGTTTGTATTAGTGTTTGTATTATTGTTCTTCTGATTTCTGATTACGCAATGAACTGCAAGCCTTTCTCCATCGATCTGTCAATCGAGTTGTTTTGTTTACTTTGGGACATCACACACACCACACGCACGCACACAAACATTGCTCAACAACCACACGCACCCACCTGCACAGTGCACACGGATTAAGCAATATTTTGTATATATTTATCTTCATGTATTAAACAAGCACTAATCTCAGATGAAGATGATAATTAGGATGATGACGATGATAATTAGGATGATGATTACGATGATGATGATGACGATGATGATTACGATGATGACGATGATGGTGACAAGGATGATTACGATGATGATTACGATGATTAGATACAAATCTCAAACGATGACGACGACGATGATGATGGAAGATACAAAATCGTCTACAAACTAAACACAGGCATCTCGCCTACCTCCTCCTATCACGTTTGAAATATTTCGCAGGTAAGAATAGTAGCACTCGGAGACAAAAATTCTTTTGACCTCAAATGAATTAGCCAACAAGATGGCCGAAATAAACTATTTACATTGAACTTAACGTTGACCAAGTTGTTTAATTAATGAAATTTAAGGGTGTGAAATGTTAAATGAAGGAAAAATAAAATAGATCAAGTCAATACAGATGCAAAATAAAAACTTAAACGCACTCAAATATCATACACACAGACACACACATACACGCACGCACGCACACACACATACATGCACGCGCGCACACACACATACATGCGCACACACACACATAATGTACCAATTTGAAACAAATAAGTTATTAAGTGAAACGAACTTCATACTTCATACAATGAAGGAGACAGATGTGTGCATGCGTTTAATGAATGATTGAAAGAACAACGAATGAATGAAGCCGCGCCAAACTCAGGCATTGTGTCATGTTTTCCATGTTATTGCCTTCTGTCACTGTCACGCACGCATACACACACGCACGCACATACACAGCGCACACGCTCATGTAGGCATAAATATTGTATATAATATATATGTAGGTTATAGCATTTATACAATGTCAAACACATATTTTTTGGTTTAACACTGAATTATTTATTTCTTGTTGTTACCTATTCATTAATTATTGTTTATTAAACTTAATCCAAAATTCATCTATCGATAATATTTTATTCATGCAAGTAACTACCAATTCTTTTCAATCGATTTATAGGACTCTCATCTCCATTCATGAAGCTACCTTCATTTCATTTGTTAACTACCAATGTTCATGACTTATATGATCTTTTGTTTGTTGTTTGTTTGCGGAGTTCCTCGCTTATTTGTTCGTTTGGAAAAATTTTTCATTTATCAATCTGGTGGTTGTTCATAATTTTGTTTCCAATTTTTTCATTTTTCTTATAAATTTTTGTTAGTTCTACTTCTGTGAATTTATATGAATATGCGTATTAAGCAATTCGTATATTTATTAATAAATTTTATTTTATGCATAGATTCATAACTTACTTTATCCCTTTATTGCAGGTTCATGCGCTTGCCTGCTGTTCGCCTTCACACGGTTGCATCTGAAGTAGCTCAAACCAGCTACCACAACCAGCATCGATCGATTGATTGATTGATCATTTGTTTCCGAGCTCCATACATGTGCAAACTCCATTCAGATGTTATGTTGAGAACTCGTGAATCCCATCCTCCACATCATCATATGTACGTTCCCGGTGCTAATGACAACTGATGATAATGCATGAGGAAACATTCCAACAGTTCTTAATCGAATCTATTTTCTTTTTATAAATTTTAAGACTAATTAATTATTATTTAATTACTAAAGAAATCAGTCGTGACTTTTTTAAATGTTACGAGTAGATGTTTAAAAACGTATCTAAAAATATACTTCGAAGTTTAATTCCAGATTTTTTTAAATTAAGCTAATTCCATTCATTTAATTTCTCCTCTGTATACAATTTAGTAAAATTTACATGATTATTATTTCATGAATTTTCTGTCAAGTTAAGAAACTGTACGTAAACATCGGAATTTTCTCTGATTTTTTGAGGGTAGAAATGAAAAAAGACAGCCCTCTCAGCTGAATAACAATTTTTTATTCGCCATCTTTCGAATATAAACAATAATACATATCCGCTAATATAGGCTGTAATTTACTGTCCAACAATTTTAGTTGATATTTTCTCTTTATATATTTTTATTTCTATATATACTTACGAGCGTGTATGAATGTTTAGAGAATCTGCCAACAAATAAACCTGCCAAAAGTTTACTTATTAATAAGCTACCTATCAATTCTAATAATTTTTTAATTGTTAATAAAATATTGAGTGTCAACCACCCACCCAGTCGTGATAATATAAATTACAAATTCACTTTATATAGGCTCGTCGTGTATAAACGTTACTACTACTACTACCACTACTGCTACAACTAGGTTTGTCGTGTAAAAATTCTCATGACATACTTATAGAAAGTGCTGGCAGCTTTGAACTAATACTGGGACGAAATCATTACACGAGGTAAAATAAAAATTACAATTTTATAATATTCCGGGGAGGTAGTTTAGTTGTAATACATAAAAAAAATTGAAATGACCACCATACTAGTACCACATCATCTGCTCCTAATCCAACAAAAATTTTGAAAAAATTCTAAATGAATAAAATAATGCAAATTCTGTTTAAACTTCATTTTCAGCAGTACATGTTGCATACAATGCCAAAAGTACAATCAGACATGAGTGAACAGAAAATGTAACAGCTGCATTGAGAAATTGAGCCTTCAGATGATGAAATGTCCTTCCAAATTATCTGAGAAATGCATGTCAAGTACTGGAACATGGTCAAGCATTGCTTGCTTTTAAAAACCTTTTCAGCATGGAAAAGAAAATGAATAGGGTTTTCAAGAAAATCTAAAATTTTTTTGCATATTTTAAAACACTGGAAATAACGCAAAAAAGAAATCTTATTTCAGAAAATGTAAAGTTTTCAACAGCAACCAAAAAATACTTTGTCGAAGATGAAGAGCTATTTTGCATCCTGAATAAATATGACAAACAATATTTTGTATTTCATAAAGGTCCCTGAAAATTACAAAAATTTAATTACGATACGAGATGGACATGGATTAAAATAAAATGTTAATGCTTCAAGAAACTGGGAACAAGATTTAGTATTTTGTTGAGAATGTAAAATAAGGTTACGCAAAAAAATTCATGCAAATTATATTATATTTCCAGATAAAAATATTGAAGAACATTGCATTGATCGTCTCTATGTAAAAATATTTTTAGGTTGACTGCCCTTCGTTATCATGTCCAAAATAATTAAATTCACATTAGTCCTAATGATAAAATTTTGCTTTAAGTAACACACAATTACATTTATTTACGTACAAACCTTTTTTTGTAACTCAAGATATATTTACAAAAATAAGTAAACCTCCGGAAAATCACAATTTTGTGAATAAAAGCATTTAATTTTTGTCAAAATTGCAATGATATTATAATAATGAATATAACCAAACAACCTGTTTGTGAAAAATTAATGATTGTTGAATAACATAAAGAAAAAAAATTGTTAAATGCTGAAACTTTAGAATGTGACAATCATTCAAATTTTAATTTATAAAAAATAAAATAATCACATTATCTTTTGATTTAAGCTGGTTTCAGCTTTGTGAGAGGACCAACAGCAGGAATTTGTATGGAAGGAGCGTTAACGTCATCCCACTTTGTGTTTGTTTTTTTTGTTCCTTGAACTTTTTCAACAACAAATTTTTTATCTTTCTTTTCCTTCTCTTTTCTATCCATTTCTATTTTTTGAGTTTTTGCTAACTCTTCATAGAACGATTCCGGACCCCATATAGAAGGATTGTACAGTTCTGGAGGATAATTTGTTCCCTTTTCATCTATACCACAAAATTCAATAAGCCTTTCATAAATACTAGGATTTCTGAAATTTTTCTTGCGTTGTATGCTTGTGTTTAAATTTGTCTTTTCTTTTTTTAATTTTGTGTAAAGATCAAGAACTTTATTTTGCAATTGTTTTGAACAATTCCCTGGAGGCTCTGGTGGTAACGGAATGAGTTTTGCAAAATATGGTTTTCTATTTAAATTTGATTCAGGGGAACCTATAGTCGATAAGAACGGAGAATCTGTATGAAGCGGGCCTGCTAATGAACTTGTTTCACTAGGCTCATTTCCAGACGTTGTTATCGTTGTATCGGGTTCATTTTGCTCCTCCTCTTCTTGTTCACTAAAACTAGATCGGTTGAGCGATTTTTCGTTGTCGTCATCTTCTCCATAGGAAACCAACCTGGTGGCAGTAATTTTTTTAACAACTTTGGCCGATTCTTCGTGGGTCACAATTTTCAAAGATGGCGAATCAAGTTTACGTTTTTTTTCATTTTGAAAGCGAGCTAAATCATCTTGGTCATCGTCCGAAATATCGATATCATCGTGAACATCATCAGCGGCTCCATCATTATCTTCATTTTCTTCTTCACTGTCGTTGTACGACGCCAGATATTTTTTAATATCACTCATTGTATGAAATTGAAATAGTAATTTGTTTGTAAGAATTTAATTTCTAATATTTTATACGTACTTGAAGAGAACCACGGAACAACAGGCAGCAGACTAAAATAAAAATACGAAGCGTACGCGAAACCAAAATTACTCGATTAGCTAACGATAGGAGCGAAAAGTAAACTGTAATATATATCGTAATTCCAAAGATCTTTATTTATACGTCAAAGATAAAATATAATTAAAAGAGCATTTGTAGACGGTTTTTACAAATAACCGTCACTATTGAATTTATTGTACAATTGTAACATTTATTCATGATGTTGCCTGATAATTATTTCCAAACTAATTATGACTTTTTTGTAGTTGACTATGTAACAACCACAAACAATGTTATTATGATCAAGTGTTTTATTGAATGTAAAAGCTGGACTGCAGTGGCGTAACGAGGGTAGGGTGAAGGAGCAGCGACCCCAGGTGTAGGGAAAGCCAAGGTGGATATAAAAACACTAACTCTTAAATATTTGTTGTTGCTTTATTTCGAAAGATCTTTTATATTAATGTTTTTAATGAATTTGTATAAAATCGCAAAACCACAAAAAGTACTTTTGCAAAAAAAAACAAACAAAATTTGTTATAATTCCACTTTAACTTATGAAAATTAAATGATCAATATAGCAATATGAAACTGCGGCCTGCAACGTACAAATTCAAGATGTTGAAGAGACCAGCTGAAGAGCTTAATACCATCGGATTCAGTCCAGGCGACCAAGTTAAAGTGACATATTTTTTGCCAATAAACACTAATATTAAATTTGAGATAAAATAATTTTCTCCAACGTTTTGATCTTTTCATCTAAAATCAGATCAACACTTGATCATAAAATTGTGGTTACTTATTAGATTTAAAAGAATTAAATTTATAAATAAAATATAGCTCCAGCATTGTTTATTGGTTTGGTATCAAACACTCGATTCAAAAGTGTACAAATTTGATATTAAAAAGTTTCAATGATTCTTTTGAAAATTTTATAACTGTAGTGTTTATTCGTTGATTCATGAGTCATTTTAAACAAAGTGAGATTATTAGATATGTTCATATAAAAAACAAAAATGTAGAGGTAAGAGAATCATTTTTAGGATTTTTTCCTCTTGCCAGAAAGAAGGCTATTGATATCACACAAAGAATTGTAAATATTATTGATGAAGAGGGTTTGGACATAAACCTATGTCGAAGCCAAGGTTATGACAATGCTTCGGTAATGTCAGGTGTTCATTCTGGGGTACAAGCCAGGATCCATCAAATAAATCAGAAAATTTTATTTGTACTTTGTTCTAATCATTCACTTAACTTGAGCGGGGTTCACGCATTTGGAAGCAATCCAACTTGTGTAAGGTTTTTTGGAACAATTGAAAGCATTTACAACTTCTTTTCTTCATCAACTCATAGATGGGATATATTGTCAGAAATAGTCGGGATTACTGCAAAAAGGCTAGCAGGAACCAGGTGGAGTGAGCAATGTCATGCGGTGAAACCTGTAATGAATCATTTCAGCAAGTTGGTACAGGCTTTAGAAAAATTATGTGATCTTTCAGAAAATGTAGATACGAGAGGTTCAGCTCAAATTTTAATGAAAAATATTCAAGATTTCAAATTTCTTGATTATCTTCATTTCTGGAGCAGTACTCTTGAGGAAGTCAATCATACTCAAAAATACTTGCAAACAGAAGGAATTGGTTTAGATAAAACCATTGAAAAATTAGATACCTTAAAACTTTTTCTGCATGAGAGTCGCGATGAATTGGTTGAAAATGCATTGATATTTTCTACAAAAATTTGTGAAGAAATCGAAATAGCTACAGAAAAATTGGGTCGAAAAAGTCAAAGAAAGCTTATGTCTGGAGAAGAAAGTAAAGAAAGTAATGTTGAAACAGGAATTGAGACGATCAATGCTTCAGTCACTTGATAATTTTTATCAAGATCTTAGAAAAAGGATAGAATCAATGCAAAATGTATATGTAAAATTTGCAGCCATTCAATCATCACATCTTATTGGAATGGAGATAGAAGAACTTTCAAAGCTGATACCAAATCTGACAGAAACGTTTGATGAACTAGAAGAAAATGAAATGATACCCGAAATTAAACGATTAAGACGTCATCTTCAAGCAGGGAAAATTGAGAAAGATGATGTTAAAAAATGGTCTGCACTGAAAATGTTAACCTATATAATAGAAATTGATTTACACGAGTCAGTTCCAAACTTATATTTAGCTTTAAAGATTTTTTAGACAGTGTGCGTTTCAATTTCTTCTTGCGAAAGAAGCTTTTCAAAATTGAAGCTGATTAAAAGTTATCTTTGTTCGACAATGAATCAAGCAAGACTTAATGGCTTAGCAATCCTATCAATTGAAAACACAGTGGCGAGAAATATTAACTTTGATGAAACAATACAAATATTTTCTGATGCAAAATCTCGTATAAAACAGTTTTAATATATTTTTCGATTAGCTGAATCAAAATTTTGTGGCATATGTGTACTGACATGTGTAAATGTTTTGTATCTATGTATATTGCATTTTTGTAAAACATAAAATATAAAAACATTTTTCATTTATTTTCTGCATCATCAGCCAATTAAAAAATGAAAAAAAGAATAAGTGCCTTATCCTTTTCTGGACATCGGCGACCATCAATTTCCACAAAATATGGACTGTGGTTAGTTTTTGTCGATGAATTTCTTGGCAGAGGTATAGACATATGTTACCACACTTATTGGGTCGGATTTTCAAGGGTCAGATGGGGCTGGAGGAGTGAGGAAGGTTGGCTGCTAATTAATCTGTTTCTAATTTTTTTGTACATAATATTATATCTCAATAAATTTGAATCATTTAATTGGAAATTACATTTTTTGGAAATTAACATGATTGAAGTTAAAGATCCGGTATTACTTCATCTAAACTCTTTTAACGGCAAAATTCAATCACTTTTCTTCTTCAAAATATTTTGAGCTGGCAACCGCGCTGACAACAATTTTATTAGATGACATCCAAATGTATCCTGACTTAGTTAAACGACTATTTTTTCTACTAGGTAATGGTTTGATAGATCGAATGCATTTCTCTCAATCTTGTTTTAAATTTTTTACTTTCCAACCTAAACGAGAAATGAAATGGAGCAAAGTTAAACTCTCCCAATCTTACTTATTTATATTGTTTGCCATAGATATTAATTCTAAATGATGGACTGGTTCTATAAACAACTCTTTATATATAAGGTATGCGTTTTGTTGCTATTTAGGACTGTTTCAATTATGATGCCAAAACTGAACGGTTCAGAAACTTTAGTAACTGACCCAACGTATTATATTTATTCTAAATTTTGCCAACAGCCAGTAAAATAAAAATATTTCAATTACCTCAAAATAATCGTTCAATAATTGACAGCCATAAAATTGTTGCAGCTTATTTTGCCAACTTCACCAATTGGGAGCATGGATATGAATCAAGCAGTTATGGTGACAGCAAGAATTGTGCCACGTTCAACGTTACAACTATAAAATGGAAAGAAACGAGATGCCAGTTGACCGGAAAGCAATTTGCTGTGGTCTGTCAAAAAAATAGCAAATCCCCGTTAATAACTAATACTATATCAACCACAACAACATTAAGAACAACAACAACGTTAAAAACGACTTCAACCACGAAATTATTAGCAATGTCTACTGGTTATTCTGCAAAGTTTTTCACATCTGACTTAATAGAAACAACAACATCAGTAACACCATATACATTATTTTTTATCAAACTGCAACAGCACTGTATGTCACGAAACCTGCAACCATGTTGTGGGTAAATCTATCATCACCAACACCGACCAGTTCGTTCGTTGCATCGTCATTCCTCTACCTTCAAACAACCATCTCATCTGGAAGTGCTAAACCATTCAATCCATCGAACACAATTTTCGGCACTCTCATATTTGGTATTTTAAAAAATTATTTCTATATATTCAAGTTAATATCATTTTAAATATTATAAATCGATAGAAATATTTATTCAGAATTTCGAATTATAAAAGACAGTTGAGATTATCTCATTGAACTGATCACACGTGAATGAATTTTTGAACAACAGGATTGGGGTTGGTAACGTTGGTGGCCATCGCGTCAGTAGTTGGAAATGTTTTGGCGTGGAGGAAAAAACGACATCGCAAAGTGTGGGTTTGAATTGTTTTCTGTTGGAGCGAATTATGAAGTTCCAAAGAGTGTGTTCTATTTTAATTTCAATATAAACAATTCTGTGATGTCATTCATTGATTTATTTTCTAATTGAATTCGATCATAACCAATTTGTTAAGGTCGGATATCCAATCGTTATTGTACATGTTTCGAAAATGGTCATTAATAACTAGTTACCTAATGAGGCTCGAATGCAAATGATGAAACAATATATTACCGCAGTTAGATTTGTTTGAAATGATTTTGTTTTGATCACATTTTTTACCATACTGCATTTTAGCGATGGTGTTCACTTGGAACCATCCAACCAAGACTACGTGGAGACGAGTGGACTGCAGAGAGCCAACATGAGCAACCGATGCAAGGCACAGCATGTCAACCGTCATTTCAGGGGGTCCAATGAGGTAGAAAGTAAAATTGGTCTCAACAATGTGACTAACAAATTCTACAGCACCATCAGTGATGACCTAACCTACATTGAAATATACAATAATGTGAGTAACCTGGGTATCTCAGTTTATGATGACGTTAAAGTTTATGATGACATTGGTGACAATGGTGAGGGTGTCAATGAGATTCACACACAAGTTCCGAAGGAGAAGAAGTGTTGTTGATGACTGCTGGGATTTAATTCCTCAAAAATTGAAATATAAAGCTCAGTTGTACTTCTTGGCAATATTTGATTTCGGGCAGTCAGTTGTACGTGAACCTCATGTTGTTCAGTCAGTTGTGCGTGTACCTCTTTACTATTGAAATTCGAAAATTAAAAAAGCATACAGATTAAAAACCTCTCTCAACTGTTATTAACTCAAGTGTCATAAATAGCAACAAATTGTTAATACTAAAAAACAAGCATGTTGTTTTATTGTATCTATGCGATCCATAATTTCTGATATCTGGGCAATCCATAATTTGTAACAAAAAACAAAGTTAAAAAAAAATCAATGTCACTTTTTCTAGGTTCATAGAATTCAACACGTCACAAACATCGTGTATGAATACAATGCATGCTAAACGACG